CTCAACGCCACCAGCCGACTGCGCAAGGTGTTCGGATCCCAGCTCGCAGTATCCTTCGAGTGGCCACACTAATGCGGCGGCTGGGACCATGGCACGAATGCCGCGGCAAAACTCGAGCAGCAGCCGTGCACGATCGACTTTGACGGCTGCACCTTCGGCTGGAAGAACATAAAAAGTATGCCGATCAAGAAACCGTGGCGAATCATTGCAGATCACGTCGGGTTCAACGAATCCCTCAGAAGGTTCTGCGACGGCAGCCGCAGGCATGCCGAAGCCCGCGGACGCGATGCCAAGATAGTGAGAACCGCACATCTGAGCTCGTAGAGATGCTGGCCAAGCAGTTGCGCAGACGCAGCAATGGGATCGCCAGGGAAGTGCACCCCACGGCACCGACTAGAACGGCATCGCGGCGGACACCTCCCCTACCTGCCGCTCCACAGGAACCACCGATCACAGCAGCGGAGGAGCGGGCATTTCGATCCGCCATCATGCAGCTTCACGTCAACACTGGGCAACCTGCCCATGACGCTCTAGCCAGAACAATCTGCGTGACAGGCGGATCCCAACGAGCAGTTGACATGCTATTGAATCTCTACTGCAAGGTCTGCTCGACCCATCAACGGCCACTACCACATCTACCAAGACGCATCCGGCTGGACTGGGACTTGAATGACTCTATTGGCGTAGACCTGGTCAACCTCGCCGACTACGCCGGCAACCAACTGGTATTCCTCAATGCGGTCGATCTGGCCTCGGGATTCACGCTCTGCGGAACCGTTACCACCAGGCATGCGTCGGTTGTTTTCGCTCGACTACTGCATATCTGGATTATGCCTTTCGGCGCTCCTCAGAGTCATCTTCGATGGAGGAGGCGAGTACGAGTGCGAGTTCTCCGAGGAGCTCGAAGACATGGGTTGCCGCTGAATGACTACGTCAGCGGCCACACCGCAGCAGAACGGCACCGTCAAAAGACATGGTGGAATATGGAAGGTTTACGCCAGGAAGCTGATCGACCAGTTCAGAATCAGGTTCGACCAGCTCGCAAACGCCCACAAGATCCAGTGGCTGCTCGCTTCAGTGTGCTGGACCATGAACAGCATGGTCAACGCCATGGGTTACTCGCCATCATAATGGGCTCTCGGACGAGGACTGCGATTACACCGTTACACTATTGCTTGCTGGACAATTCTGGACGCTTGTCGCTCCATGAACGCATCGTGATCGAGAAGTCGCTCTCTGAGCAGATCGCGATCATGAAGGACGCCCGAACCTCTGTGAAGCATCTGAGATTCAACCGATCCCTCTCCCGATCGCTTCTCGCCCGGTCAAGGGCTGACGCAGCCCAGCACGCCTCCGACGTCTATTAGACGGGCGACCGAGTGTACTACTGGAGAGGGAACGGCAAGACCAAGCGGGAACGGGCCTTGCAGTGGCACCGACCAGTCGTCATCATCGGGTTCGAGGGTACCTCCAGCGTGTGGGTAGAAGTACCCCTGGCCCAAGGTGCCCCCAGCTTTTCGCTCCATTTTGAAGCCCGTGGGGCCCTCTGGGCCTCGTGAGGGGTGCTTTGGAGGCCGTTTGGGCTACCCCGAGAATCCCGGGGGTACCTTGGGCCAGGGGTACTTCTAGCAACACCCGAAATGCTCAACGCACTACGCCAGAAAGGTGCACCGCCTCCGCCGGAGCCCCCAGACGGCCGACCGCCTTCGGGCCACAGCCGCCGCCGCCGCTCCCAGGCAGATCCATCCCCGCCAGACGGCGGAGGCGATGGTGATGACGGCGGTCCTGGGCCACCAACGCCGCCTCGCGAAGACTCGGGGCTTCGTAAACGGGGTTTTGGCTAAACGGGGGCTTAGGCTTTTCCATGTGCCCTCGTGCACTGTACCCCCGTTTACGGCGCCCCGGGCCCCCTAAGCGGGGGCAGAGCCAAAAGTGGAGATCGGCGTTCCCTGTGACCCCGTTTGCTGTGCCGCGCCCTGGAAGACAGGTCCCTGCACCTCGCCGGGCCCGCGCCGCAGAAGAGGCCGCGTGCCGAGGACATGCCTCCTGCTCTGTCCGCGCCCACCTCTTCGGGCACGTCGAGGACAGCGCCCGGAGCCGCAAGGCGCGCGGTTTAGCTGAATGGCTTCGGCGAAAACAAGACAATACCGAGTTTACGACACCTGGAGGAGCCAGTGGAAGCGGGTCGGCACCACCCCTTTCGGGAGGAGACCACCACGTGCCCTCCGAGCCGCCGCTCCCGCCGCCAGCGGAACCGCCCCCTGGCGTTACCGCGGCGCCTCCTCAGAAACCCGCCCTACACGACTCAGGGGCTGCTGCCGACGCTCAGTCCGGCGCTGATCAAGCAGCTGCTGCGCTACCAGAACCTGCACCAGCATGCCCAGTCGACGACGCCAACTGCGACAACTCCAGTTCCGACATGATCACGGAATTGGCCAGGATCGCGGAGGAGCTCGACGACACAGAGTATCGGCGAAAGGCTGCCGCTCGACGTCCTGACGGCGCACCAGACGCTGGAGCGTCCAAGTCACAACGACAACTACCACAAGAAGATTCGGCACATGCCCTACAGCGAAACGAGACCGCCTCGATCAGGCGGACCAAGATCGCTGATATAAGATCTGCTGCAATGCCTGAAGAAGAAACCTCGGGAAACAAACCACGTCGACCTCTATCTCGATAGCTGCTTCAAGTGCCGCGACGAGGACCTACAAGCCTCGGTGCAGCTTCGCGAAGTGCTGCTGACCGCCAATGCGGCAGCCAAGGAGCTTCGCTATGACAACCACGATCTCAAGGTTAAGGGGCTCATGGACGCTGCGTTGAAGACGGAGTGGTCCAAGTGGACTGAGTTCGGAGCCTACAAGAAGAAGCTGCCCACCACCAAGGAGCTCATGGAGTTGTTGCGCCGCCACCGTGGGATACGACCAGTGGGCACGTGGTGGGTGCTCACCAGCACAGGGCCGAGCCTCATGAAGGCCAGGCTCGTCGTCCAGGGGTGTCAAGAGGATAAGTTGCAGATCAGGACCGGCGCAGCAACGGGATCGCGCGGCGCCCTATAACTCACATTGGCCGCGGCTGCCCAGACTGGCTGGGATCACTCGTCCAGAGACGCGGCCTACCTCCAGTCGGGCAACATCAAAAGGTTATTGCTACTGCGGATGTCAACAAAGAACCCTCCACCAGGGACGAAGCCTGGCGAGATCGTGATGGCTACAGGTACCATCGACGGTACCAGGGACGCAGGGAGGCAATGATACCTCGACGCCCAGAAGTTGTTCTGTGAGATGGCTTGATCGACAGCAATCTCGAGAAGGGGCTCTAATACTTCTACGATGACAAGGGCCTCGCCGCCATGGTTCATTCCCACGTGGACGACTTCCTGGCTGCCGAGCGCGTCGACTTGAGCGCCTGGAAGACCACCATCGCTTTGCCGAAGAAGAAACTCCACCTAGAGAGTGCCATCAGCGTCATCAAATACTGCGGACGAGCTCTCTAGATCACCGACGACGAGTTCGGGGTGACCCAGGCTACCGCTGCCTCTCAGGTGGGCTACGTCGAGCTCGGAGAACCCCCCAACCGAGGACGAAAGAAGCCAGAGGAAACGACTTTCTCCAGCAGAGGTATCGAGCTACCGACACACACTCGGGCAACTGCTGTGGCTAGCACTGCAGACCGGCGTGGACGTTGCCTGCCCCGTGAATTTCACAGCTCACCGTGCCACTACTGCTACCGTGACAGACGCCATGACACTCAACAAGACTGTCGTGTAGGTGCATTCGACGGCCAACGTTGCCATAATCTTGAGGCGGAAGCTTGTTGAACTCAAATCCTCCACGACTGTGTGCTTCAGCGACGCCGTGTTCGCCAACGTAGACAATGTCAAGAGCCAGTGGGGAATGGCGATGGGCCTTACGCACCGACCGCGCAATGTGGTCGGAGGCCGCTACGACCTGTGCTTGCCCGTTGCTTGGCATTCTGGCATGGTCAAGAGGTCAGTGAAGTCAACCCTCGCTGCCGAGGGCTACGCCAAGCTATAGGGAAACGATATCAACGCTTGGTTTCGCCATCTTCTCGTCGAAACCTACAACCCGACGAAGCCGCTAAAGGAGATCGACGCCCTGAGCCTCAAGCTACTTGGCGAGATCTACAACAGCAACGGCCTCGTGACCCACATCAAGTCCGACGTGGGCCAGTCCACGGACAAGCATTTTCGCATCGTCGCCTCAATGATCCAGGAGGCCGTGCATCCGAACACTGCCTTGCGTCTCACCTGGTCCATGGTCGCCGACGAGCTCACTAAGGCGATGCAGGCAAGTGTACTGCTCTCAGTGTACGGAGCAAACACAATTTCGGCACTCGGCAACCTAATGCTGCGATGCTTGCATCCGTGCTGCTGACCTGCACCGGGAAACTCCAGGGACAGCCGACGCAACCACCACCCACGCCCGGACCTGATGTGTATATGGCCACCTGCTGGTATTACCAGGGCTACTACATGATGTGGCTCGCGCTCTTCATCGGCATGTTCATCCAAGTCAGCCATTTCGCCGCCTTGGCGTTCACGCTGCGCATGAACGGATACCCTGGGTTGCTACCGCCGTGCGAGCCGAAGGCCGAAGACGCTGAGCCCCCTGCGCAGGACGGACGGTTATCTGGGGAGGCACCACAACGTAGCCAACACAACTGCAGCCTCATGGTTGACAGTACGCCCGACGAGACCGCCGCTCACTTCCGTTCCAGACGAACCGATGATCCCAGCGATGGCCGCTACACCAACTGCATCTGGCTCAGCGAGTGCAGCGCCAGCCACGACTGACCCGTCACCAACAGCATCACCATCTACACCGACGACTGTTTCCATATTCGGCGAATGCCGCTTCGTGGAATTGATCAACGCCTACCGTGTCGTCCATGAAGCTCACGCCCTCAACAACTCTCATGATGTTTTGATGTTCGCGTTGGTCACAACCCGCAAAATGTCTACATCACGTGTTGAACCTGCGGGAAGCACTGGGTCCGGCATAAGGGGAAATATTCTAGGACCCCCGACTTCTCTTCGCTTCATTACTCTCTCAGGTGGGACGTCAATCGATGGGGACAGACCACTGGGCAGCCAAATTCTGGCCGAGATGCCAAGCCCAACCTCCAGGAGCAAAGGCAGCGACAGAGCACGTGTGTCCGCATGGCAAACATTTCTACATCAAGCATTCCTTTGCGCACGTCAGCAATACAGAATTGTTCTACACCTGGCATGTCCTTCCTCGAGCCCACCTTGCATAACTTTCTACACCTGGCATGTTCTTACGTACGTCCGCGTTGCTGCAGCGCTGTTTCACGATCACCTGACAAATTCGCATCTTTTGATCATTGTGCCCGCGGCACTGAGCATGGTAATGCTCAACATAGGCGGCCTGCATCTCACAAGCCGTGCGAGCCGTTTGCTCGCCCTATCCCACTTATATTTGTTTGTCAGCGCGATTTCGGAGAGGAGGGGAAATGGAAGGAAAGGGCACACGCGAAGCCTCACTCCGAAGTCTCTTCGCACCTCCTCCAGCGGACACATCCAGCCCCCTTATGGACAACAGGAGCACCAACATGTCCCACGGACTAGGTGAGTGAGCGATGCCCCCACTACTCTATGAGAACGCTCTTGCAACAAAGTGTGGCTCTTTCCCCGTCGCGTGCGGTGCAGAGAAGCGGAAAGAGGAAGAGGAGCGAGGGAAAGGGAAAAAGCAAGGGCACCGTGTGGGAACCCCCTGTGGCCCCAGCGGCAACTTATATATAATCCACAAACGCACAGCGCAGCCTAAAGGAAAGGAGGACCAGGAGGAGGCCCCGCCACCAGCACTGCTTGTAGGCGGCGAACTCGAAGGGACTACTCCGGCCGACCGCCTTCCTTTCCGCTTCCTCTGCCTCCGTCTCCAACTCCCTGGCGGCTGCGTCCGCGCGGAGCAGAAATCGCCCTATCCCGCTTAATGAAGATTCGACCGAACGGAGTGTTCGTCGCCCTGGTGCCCGTGGCGCCCAACAAGAGGAGCGTGATTTTTGTCGACTCGATAACGTCGTCGGCCGTACTTCCGCCAAACTTCCGCTTTTCTCCCTGCTCCTAGTCTTGCTGTTCTCACACGCTCTGCCATCGCCCAAGCGTCTTTGAGCTACGCAACGTATCAGCGATACGCAGGAACACATATATCGCCGATATCTTCCCTATCAAACATCAACGCCAAGAGGGCCCACAAGCGGGCGGAGCCCTGGGGACACCCTCTGGCCAAGGGCACGTCAGTCAGCGCCCGATCCTTGAGTGACTGCTCGTTCATCGCCCTCTCCTCCTGGTACAACTTTTCCTGTGTCGCCACTTCAGTGACCAGGTCCGCCTGCTGCTGGGTGAGTTTGGTCACCTCGCTTCCGAGCTGCGCCACGTTGCTGCTCTTCTCGTCGATCTGAGCGGTGAGCTTCTCCACGTCCGTGGATCGAGACGTCCGCACCTTCTCGTTGCTGCTGAGCTCCTTGTCACACCACGCCTTGTGCTGCAACTCCTCACCAGCCTCCTCCTCAAGGCGGACGATAAGGTCCTGAATTAATTTCTTGACCTTAGCGAAAGGGTCCTCGCTGACGCGCTCTGCGATTGCCGACAACACGCGGCTGTCGATGGCCTTCGCGCGGTCCTGCAAATACTTCGCAGCCTCATCCTGGTATGGGCCGATCTCTCGCTTCAAGATCTGCACCAACGACATCGCAGACTTGGTCCCGTTCCTCCCCAGCCTCTGGATCAGAACGGACTCCACGTGCGGGGCCTGCATGTCGTTGAGGATGCCAATCGCCGTTTGGATCGCAGTGAGTTCCTCGGTCCTGAGCTTCTGCCGCTCCTCGAAGTCCGACGCCTTCTGACTGCACACGGCCTTCGTGTCTGCGAGAAATTTCGAATCTTGTTCCTTGGTCCCGGTGGTGTCGCTGACCTCGCCCTTCATGGTGGCCGCAGATTGCAAGTCCTGCGCCTTCTGCTGCACCTTGTCCGATCTCATGGCCTCGGCGTTGGTCTTGGAGGTGTGCAGCTCCTGGACAAGCATTTGGTAGGAGTGCCGCCTATTCGTCTCCTCCTTCTCCAACGCCGCACGCTCATCGATGAACTTATCCTTTAACTGCTCGAGCATGTCCACGACACCCCCTGAGCGCAGCTCGTAAGCGTACGCCTCTGGGGTCTGGAACTCTACGTCCCGCGAAAGGAATGCGGCCAGCACCTTCCGCGTCTTCTCGGGGGCCTTGGCCAGCGCGCTCAAGCCGCTCAGTAAGGACACGGCCTGCGCACGGTTCTGCGGCTGTGCTCTCAGGATGCCTACGGCCGTCGTGATTGCGTCAATCGTCTCGGTGTAGTCGTTGTGAGCCTTCAAGTAGTCCGCGCGCTCGATCTCTCGCACCTGGGCGAGATCAGTCAGCATCGAACCCCAAGTCCGGTCGGGTCGAAACGTGTGTCGGATCAGGATGCATCGGCACGGAGTCAAAATCGAATCGGATCGGCTGCACCAGGATGTGCGGACGTGCCTTGCAACCGCAGGGCCGCATCGGATCGCTGGAGCATCGAAGACACAGCGGATCAAGCCTGGCGAGCTCGAGGTCGAATCGGATCGATCGTTTAGACATGGACTCTGACCTGGGTGGCCGCCTTCTCGTCGCCCTCCCACGTCGCGACGTCGGCCTCGAGCTTCTGCACCGCCAGCGCCAGCTCCTCCGCGGACGTCGTCACCTCCTGGATGTCGGCCGCCAGCATGCTCAGCTTCTGCGTGGCGGACTCGACCGCCCTGGTCTTCTCGTCCGTCACGCTGGTGCACCACTGCTTGTAGGCGGCGAACTGCACCTGCCAAACGGGGGGACGTCGACGGACACCCCGCCGATCCTCGCCGGGCCCGTCCTGGGCCCACCATCGGCGTACGCGCCCCTCCTGGCTTGGCCAGGGAGGCGCGGGCGCCCATCCCGGCCCCAGCATCGGCCCGGCCAGCATCGGCGAGGCGGCCGGCTGACGTCTCACGAGCCTGCTCCTTCTGCTTCTCGTCCCTCCCCGTCACCAGCATGCCGTTGAGCATCTCGATCACCTTGGCGATCGGCGACACGGCCCCCGCCGCGCCGCGCCCGGCCGCCGCGGCCACGAACAGGAATAGGGCTGCGGTAGGCTGCATTTGGCCCCCCCCGGCCTGGCCCCCTGCGAGCGGTTGGAGGGGCGCAGGCTCGCGCGCAGGCGCGAAGGGCGGGGGCGGCCCGGCTGGCTGTCCCTGGGCCAGGCTGTGGGGACGAAACAGGGAGGGGAGAAACACGGAGGAGGAGGAGGAGGAGGACAAGGAGAAAGAGGAGGAGGAGGAGGAGGAGGAGGAGGAGGAGGGGGACGGGGACATTTGATAAACATCCACGCGACTGGTGCCCACATGCTCCAATGTGGGTGGGCGAGGCTCGCATGGGGAACAATGAGCCCGGAATTAATCCGAATCTCCGCAATGAGGCGTGCTGAACTCCCACCCCGCCATCAAGACGAAGCTGGTCCCGCACGCGAGCCAAGTGTGCCACAGGACCAGCATCCGCCAGACGGCTGGACAACGCACAGCTGCTGCCAGGCAACAAATTGACGTTGGCCAGATCCACGGACAAGGGCTTCCGAGGATTGATACCACGCATCCACTTGTACACGTTCGTTTGTTTGAAAATCATCAACAGTGCCAAAACACGATTCCTGGGACTTAAGCGCCGCGAGTCAACGTGACTGTTGCGTCCTGACATTTCTGAACCGTGCCAGAAGACCGTTCAGGGACTTCAATATAACGGACCAACGTGACTGTTGCGTCCTAGGTCGTGCCATAACGCGTTTATCCTTGACGACCTTCCAAGACGAACGTGCGCTGCGCAAAAACGGGAACCGTATTTCGAAAACAAAAACACCGTCCATACTTTGAACGCTCCCGGCTTTTGATACAAATTCGAGCGACGCTCCAACATCCATCCTCCATCCTTAAAACGGCTGCGAACTTTGAACACGAATTTGCGCGGCGGCGCTGAAACGAGCACACTATCTGCTGCTGCATCCTTGGAAAACGAATGTGCAAGCGCGGCGCGAAAAGCGAAACCACCAGTCAAAAAAGGACCATCCCTCCATTCCTAGAGCTGTTGCATATTTTCGTAACAAAAGTGCGAGGAGCTGAAACGAAAACAGCCTGTTGAAAAACAACCGTCCTCTGTCCTTGAATATGATGCAAACGTTTAAGACGGAGGTGCCCAGCGCCAACGCGAAGACAACATTTTGAGAATGACCCGTCCCCCACTCGTAAAACTGCTGCACAGCTTCAAACTTCAATACCATATGGTAAAGCGAAACGCCCGGCCAACCCTACCGACGCGTCTGGGGGTGCGACAAGTAGATGCCATTTAAAAACGGAAGGGGGTGGACGAGGAGAAAAAAGGTGAATGAGGAAGAACAGGAGGGGGAGGAACATTTAGAGGAGCAGGGGGAGTACCAGAAGGAGGGCGAGGAGGAGGAGGAGGAGGCGGAGGAGGAGGCGGAGGAGAAGGAGGAGCGAACGACCTGAAGGGGCCGACGGATCTCCGCGGGCACAGGGCGGGGCCGCGCTTATGCGACAGACGCGCGGGCCGCCCCTCTGAGGGGCTCTAGAGGGGCGAAGGACGCAGTGTCGAAGCCGTGGGGCTCGTCGCAGGGGCCGAAATTGGTGGTGCCGCTGCCCGGCGTGGAGCACACCTCGGCGGAAACGACCTCCAGGGGGGAGGCATCGCTGCCGTGCCAATCGCACTGTAAAAGGCTCTGCAGTCCAAGTCTGCGGGATGCCGAACGGGTCGAAGGCGTCCGAAGTGGACTGGGGCGAAGAGGGCAGGAGATCTTGAAGAAGTGCTTGCGGATGGCGGATGCACCAGTGCAGGAATAGTAATCGCCCCGCCAGTGTAGCGGTGGAGGTCCTGCTCGATGTAGCTCTGGAGAATCGGGGGGGAGCTTGGCGCGTCAGCGTGTCCGACATCAGGAAAGACTGGTGAAGGGCGGGCTGGCCCCATGGCATGCGTCGTCTGCCGTAGGGGGGGGGGGGGGCGGACTCGGGATATCCTGCCACCCCCCTGGCGTCAGACTCTCAGCGCGGATCGCGTCGAGGATGCTGTGGAAAACCGGGTTGAGGAATATGCGGGGTCTTTCCAGTGATGACCGCGAAGGATAGCGCGTCGCCGCCCGTTCAAACTCTTGCTCGGGAAAGGGCCCGCAGCTCGTTGACTATCGTCTCGCGCTTGTCCCTGCCAAGTTCCCAAATCTATGAGCGCGCCTCCTGAGCCAGCGTGCGCAGCAACTCGCCTTGCTTCTCGTCGGAGGCGAGGCCCAAGAGATGGTCGAAGAAAGGCTTCTGTAGCTGGGGGCGCACGAAAGAAGCGCGCCATTCCATCCAATGCTGCTCATCGTCAAGATATTCGTCCCGGTCGAAAGTTTGGAACCCAGTGCTTGGGAAACTCGAGGAACATCCCCTACAGTGTCTCGCATTTGAAGCAGCTGTGGGCCGATGCGCTCCGCGCTGCCTCTACAGGCAGGCACGGCGAGTCATCGCCATCGAGCACCTCGACGCGATGCTGAAGACTGCGAAGCATCGGAGTGACAATCAACCGCTGGTCCCGCAACAGCTGGCAGGCCCCCGCCAGCCGAGGAGACGCGAAGGCGAGACCGCCCGCGCGCCGACGCAGTAAGACGTTGGTCGCGAGGAAACTGCCGCTGTCCGAGTCCGGCGCGTTCACGATCAACGCGTGCGGATCTTGTGCGACATTTGCTTGGCTGGTTGCGGTCTTCGCGAGTGGCGACCAGCGCTCAGGGCCGCCGCGGCCCGCGGGCCGTGTCGCGGGCAGAGGGCACCTGGTAGGTTTGGCAGACTCCGCATCCCAATGTTGAAGGCCCGGAGCACTCGTGCACCTCGGCGACGCCGGGCCCCAGCTCTCGGCCAGAAGAGCATCCGTGTCCGCCGCGTTCCTGCTTCCAGACTGCGCAAGATTCGTCCAGACTGATTCGCAAATATCCGAACTCGTCGCCATGATCTTTCGGGGAGCGTCGCGGGAGGAGCCGCGAACCGCGAGTGCGGGGCTATGAAATGCGGCCGCTCCAAGAGCATCACCATGTTGGGAGAGCGCCAGTCAATCCAATCGGCGGTTTCCTGCCAGAATCCCCCCCCTGCCGTGCAGGACCGCTGCCCGACGTGATCCCCAAGGCGTTCCAAGGCCAGCGGCGCCCTTTGAGCGCCGCGGGCAGGAAGGCCTCGGGGAAGAGGCTTGCCCGTGACCTGCCGGGAACGGGGCTGCAACTCACGACCGGCAGCCAGCGGCGCGCGCCGCCTGATCATCCTCGCCCTGCATATCCCATCGCATGAGTCCCGTATCACTGCCGCTCAGCTCCAAGCCAGGAGCCGCCGCGTCACCCTCCGCCTCCGCGCCATCAATCGCCACTTCGTCGGGCATGTCCCCAGCAGAGGGCGACGCAGGAGAAACTTCGGCAAGTCCAGAATAAGAGCCGCAGGGCTGGGGAGCACGTGGGGTCAACGGATTGGCGTCGACGACATCTGGGAACGGTGGAACGCAGCTTCCCTCATGCAAGTGGAGAACCTCCGCTGGGACGCCCCCCGTCCGCGGGAAGCGACATGGCACCGGAGCCGCCGCCCTTTGTCCATGTTTGGATCTGTTGCGCTTGAAGAAGCGGGTGGATGGTGCTACGCTGCCCCGCGGTCGCAGCGCCAGCAGGTGGATCGTCCTCGTCCTGCATGCGGTCGATGTCGGCGTTCGTCGGTGACGGGAAGCGTCGCTCCCCGTGCTCGTCGGGGCGAACGCCATGGGAGGTGGGGGAGCTGCTGTCGTCGCTCTCCCCAACGATCTGCTGTTGGTGGCCCCCTTGGTGTCCGGCGAGGTTGGTGGCTGGCAACGTGGCGCCCTCTGGCGTGGAAACATATTCCTCGAAGATGTCGCGCCGCTGGCGACGCGAGCGCAAGCTTCTGCTTGCCAGCGCCGTGCCCCGAAGTTCTCGCCCGCAAATGCAACGGCCACATTCCGCCTGCTATGCTTTCTTGCCTGGCCAGGTTCCGGCCAGTCCTTGACTGGCACGCTCGCGAGTCTCTGCGGACAGAGACCGAGGTCCATCGCAAATGTCCAAGGCAAGCTGCCCGCGGGCGCAGGGGCCAGGGCAGCGGCCAGAACCGAAGAGGTTCTCGAAAACTGAAAGCCTCAACGAGCCATCCAAATGTTATGTGCACAACCTCCTCCAACCCATGAAGTTGGAACCAGGAAGGTCCGATAAGTAAAATGTCGGCAGCCGGCCGCGTGCCCAGCCGGCGGCTCGGCGAAGAAACGCGCCTTTAGCCAGGACCGCGCGGGTCGGAACGCGAGGCGAGGCATCGCGACTGCCGGCGGCCCCAGAGGTAGAACATCCTGGAAGGGGCTACAGCACGGGCCACGGCGTTAGCTCGGACCGAAGAAAGTGCGTCATCAACAGGAGCTGCATCACTGCCGCCGTCATCAGGGGGATCCGAAGACTGGGCGCCAGGCGCCACTAAATTCACGCGAGGAACACGGCCAGACCGTGCAAAAGGAGGATCAGCAGGCGGCGCGGGGCCAGAGGACGGCCCAGGCATGGGATCGGGAGCATCGCCATATTCTTCCGCAGAAAAGAGGGCCAAGCCACGCCCGGGGGCCGCGCGTGCCGAAATCTTAGTCGCACTCGTCGTCGCCCAAGACTTCGCCCTCGAAGTTTCCGCGCGTCGCGAACTACCTGCATCTCCCCCCCATCAGCTCGATGTCGGCGCCGGCGGGGCAAGGGCGATCAGTTCCGTCCACGCTGTGGTTGTCAGGCGCCGCAGATTCGCTGCCTGGCAAATGCTCAGAGCCACCTCCGTCCCTGGCGGGCCCTGCATCATCGAATCATGCGTCAAGTTGCTGTAACAGTGTCTCGTGGCCGCCCCGTTCAGAACATTGCGTTTCTCGCCCCGCCACGTGCGCGGCGGGCCGGGCGGGGGCCCGCCCCCGCCGCCGAAGGCGTTCGTGGGCGCGGGCCCTCGTCGCAGCGGCCCCCCCATCATCGACGTTGGGCCAGGGTGTGATACAGGCATTGTCGCAGCCGTTCCATCGGGATTGCCAAGGAAAGCCATCCAGCCGAGCATGGCTCCTCCACGATGACCCGCCGGCGACCGGGGTCAGAGACGCCGACCGACCAAGGGCCCAAGGGCCAGACGCGAGATCAAACCGCGGCTCGAAGCCCTGGCGCCGCAGCAGATCCGCTAAATACGGCATGCACGAGGGCATCCAGCGGTCGTTGCCCGCCCCAGGGGCTCCTGGAAACACAGACGGTACCCCACGCATGGGGGCCCTGTCAACCAGTTCGCGCCTGCGCTGTTCGTGACGAGGTGGATGGCGCAGGTCGGTTTTCTGATTGGCGCCGAAGAACTCGATCGAGCACTTGGCAGGAGGCGCTCGGAGCAATGAGCCATCGCCAGCACTGGGCGAAGACCACTCAGCCCACGGCCCTTCGAACATTTCGCCAGTGCCATCAACCTGCGCCCGTGCCGGGCCCCGGCGAAGAACTGCCGGTCTCCCAGAGAACGCAAAGGCCAAGCTACACATGGAGCCGCCGCTGCTGGAGCAGGATGAAGAAGACGAAGACAATGCCAAAAGGGGGGGGGGAAGCGCGCGCCCAGCTCGCGCTGGCAAGCTCTCGAAGGCGTCGTGGATGGCCACCGCGTCCTCGTCGAAAAGGAAAGAGAGCACCCCGTCGCACCTCTATGCCGTGGCCGCCGCGGCTGGCGCAACTGCAACTGGCTTTGCCCTAGACCGCCGAGATGGAATCGCCGGGGCCTTGATCCCCGTCGCTTTCAGGCAAGTGGGGGCCATCGTCCCACCGCGTGGCAAAACGCTGGACATCATCATCTACGTCGGCTGTTTCTTCCTATCTTTCTCTGGCAAGGACTGACGTTGATCTGCATGTTCGTCTTCGTCTTCAGCTTCCTCGTTGGCGTGGTTTCCTTCGGGATTGGCCACGGTCGTCGTTGCTATTCCTACCAGTTTAGAACTCCAAGGGCGCCACATTCGTCTGGAGGGAGACGTTGTGGAGCAGGTCGGCGCGCAGCAGAAGATCCAGAAACTCGACTTTGGGCTGCGGGATGCCGCGTCTCGCCGAGGGGGTCGGCGCCCATGGGGCCCCCCCCGCCTGGCCCCGCCAAAGCGAGGGCCTGCAGCAACCTGAGGCGGACAAGCTACTGAGGCACATGATCGCGGCAACCGTCGCAGACCAAGATGCGCCCCCACTTGCCCTCCGCGCGGGGAATCCTCCGCGATGTCATCCGCCCGCCAGCCAGCGAGCGCAGTGGCGCGCGAGTTCAAGCAATCGGCGCGGCTGTCGTCAGCTGCTGGATGGCCCGCCAAGGGGCCGCTGCCGGGCCTCCTTAGCACGGTCGGGGATCACTTCGTCCGACTCGAAGGGGGCAAGCGGGATAGAGATGGCCTGCGTGCGAATGGAGCGATGTTGGATTTCCCGCAACCCCAGGCGGCGCGAGCGTTCCATGAGCGTCGAAGAGGCAATCTTCTGGTAGAGCTTGCTTGCGCTTGAGGCCACTGGCCTCGAGGTCCTCGGCCGCCTGGGCGGCGGGGGGCGCGTCGGCGGGCGGGGCGTGGCAGAGCTTGTCCGAGAGAGCTCGGGAAAACGCGACTTCCCCATAAGCGGGCGCTTGAATGTGCACTTCCCCGCTTCCTGACGGCCGTGGGCGACGTAGTTTGCAGGCGATTCTCGCCGGCCTGAACGTCGCGGCTTGCTTGGGGAGCCAGAGCCCTGGCAGAAACCCGAATGGCCGAAATGTCGAGGGGCCGAAGCGCGCCGCCGTCGCGCCTGCAGCGCCTCGCCCGGGGCCAGCTGCGCACTGTAACCCAGCTTGGCGACGGCCCTCGCGCTGCGCCGGAAAGGCACTGGCATTCAGAGGCGCAGCCGTGGAGAGCAATGAAGAAGTGGTCGAGGGCAGTGCAAATGGCATCCCCGGTTAATGGCCTTGGCGAGCCCAACCGTCACGTACGCTTTTGCCGGGTCCACGAGGATGGCGCCAGCGCTGAGCTTCCTGGTTAAAACTACTTGGGTTGCAAGGCTGGTCTGCCAAATGGCAGACTCCCCTGGGCGACCTACTCCTCCCCGGAACACGTCTGCAACGGCGCTCTACAGCTGCCGCTCCAATCGGCGCGCAATAATTATGCCTGCGCGCCCTCGCTATCAGCCTCGGCAACCACGACGTTAAGGCGACTGGCCGGCATCCCCCAGCTGGCTTCGGGAGCATCGCCAGCGCAGTGATGCCAGTGCCTGCTGGGAAGAGCGCGAGCCTCTCGATGGCAATTGCCGTGTTGGCGAGAGGCGGATGAAAACCCTCGACACCGAGTCCGAGCCGCCATTTGAAAGTGCGCGCAGCCCTGAGGAGATCGTCCGGCGCGAGGCTAGGGCGATCGTCCATGCTATGGTCGGCTCGGGGCTCCAGGAGCAAAGGCCGCACACCGAGGGATTCGCGTCCTGCCGCCAGCGACGGTCCATCTGCTGCGTGGCGCCAGGGATCGTTCGCCCAGGCCTTGGCGATAGCGTCCGCCCGAGCCTGGCCTCCGAGGGGGGCCCCACCAGGACCGACTACGTCGGACGTCCATCCAGTAGGGCCACGCCGGTAGGCATGGAGCTCACCAGCAACGTTCGCCAATAAGCTGCTGATCCATTTGCGGAAGCACTTCCAGGCCTCCTTGGCAACATGGGGGTGCTCGCAGGCAGCCGCGCAACGCGCAGCCTCAGCCCACTCCTAGACGGTGTCCTGGCTGAAGAGGTGCGGCTCCTCGCTGTTGAGTCGGACGCGGGCTTCCGAATGTGGCCCGAGGCACGCTGCGTCGCGGAGCGGCGGCATGCGGACCTTTCCTTCGCAGCAGTCGGCGACAAGATGGAGTCGCCGAGCGGCGGCCGAGGAGAGTGGTCGTAGCGTGGCCCCCTTGGGGATGCTCTCAGGCTGCGTCTTCCAACGCAGACGCGGTTCTTCACCGTGCCCCCGATGGTCGATTGGGTCCAATTGGTACAGGGTTGCCAGCTCAGCGTCGACGTGCCGCATGACGTGGGCGTAACAAGTCGCCAAGTCGTGGTCCGTAGTAATGTTCTCCGTGCGCTGGAGAAGATCAGAATCAATCGTCGGAAAAAGTGAAAGCGGTCCACGTGGCGGCGGCCCCGCTAGAAAGCCTTGCGGCCGTTGCAAACGGCGCCGAGACTCTGGCTGCCCTCGTTTCCGCAAGCAGAGTCGGACAGCTCGGCGCGGTATGACCAGCGAGTCGTCGATGACGTCGCAGGATCCAATCCTGTGCAACAGACTTCGTGAAATCAGATAATAGTCGAACACGGTGGAAACCTGAAAGTCGGCCGCGGCACAGCGCGTGGGCCGTGCGGGGTAGATGACGGCAAGGCTGAGGCGTTGTAACCAAGCCCGCGCCTGTTGCTCGAATTGTTGAGCTGGTAGGTTGAAGTCTCCTCCTACGATCGTCGGCAGTCTGCCGGCCGCAATCTCGGCGCCCAGCTTGGCCAAGGCACTCCACTAGTCAGGTGCGAGCTTGCCGTTGCTGTTGGACTTCGGTGCGTAGTAGGAGATGGCGAGAAGGCCGCCACGTACGGGCCCGTCAACGAGAGCTGTGGAGATCCTACCGGACATGACGTTCGCAAAACCTGGGACTCCTGGTTCAGCAAGGGCCAACCCCGCCTGAACGACAACGGCGGTGCCGTCAGAAAACCCAGAAGCCGCCAGCGGCGGTGTCCTCGTTAGCGCGGCGAGCGGCATGCAGTACGCCTCGATGTTGGTGCTGCGGCACATACTGATCAGCCTGCCGCGCTTTCACGGTGGCCAGCTGGTGCTCCTGCAACAGGTAGAGGTCAGCAACGCGATTGGCACGCACGTGCTTGTCCGAGAACAACAATGTACATGGGCCCCAGCCGGGTTCATGAGCCGTCACTATGTCGTAGTAAGCGTGCCAGTCGTCGGCAACGAGCGCGGGCTGCGCTGGTGGCACATCCGTGGTAGCACGCCATGGCGCTCGAGACGCCCGCGGGCGCCATAGCTGGGCGAGATGCTGTCGCACCAGGCCCCACCCCAGGCCTCAGGGTGATGAGCCAGAATCGATCCCAGTATCTACGCGGTTGTCGCTGGATTGGTCGTCGCCAGTGAGGTCCACGACTGGAACCGATACGTGGTCGTCCTCGATTTCTGATATCTCGATATGGCCATAACAAACGTCAGGATTCGGTGGAACCGAATGTTGATGTGGCCTGCGGCGCCGGTCATGGACGTGGCGTTGCTCGTCATCAGAATGCTGCCAGATCTATTCGGCATCGCTGGGGACCTCGACGGCAGCGTCGTAATCAGTCCACGAGGTATCGTTAGGCTCGACACCAGGGTCGAGGAACGTCTGCGAATGACTCCCAACCACCGTGCCCAGGGTGGGCACCAGGGCCAGGCACAGGAGGACAAACCAAGTAGAAACGATGCCTCCTCCAAGCGGCCAGGGGCCTCGGCCCCCTTGTGATACAACCGCTGTTTCGTCCCAAGGACGGCGCACGCGAGTCAGCGACGCCAAGCACCCCAAGGTCTGATTTTTCGCGAAGCCCGCAAGTGGTGGTGCGCCTGTGCGAGCCTCAGTACGGCCTGTGCCGCCCCCAGGCTGCAGCCGCAAAGAAGGCCCGGGCGCCCTCCTTTTGCCTCTGGCACCGCTGGAGCTCGTCCGTTTCTCCAGTGAGGTGCGCCTCGTTCGCTCCTGCATCGTGCTGCACTGAGGCCGCTTGTGCAAGTGCTGCCTGCATGCTCGCAAGGGCCTGCTGGAACTGCTCGTTGTCCGCGCCCTCCAGCACCACCCAGTCGGCACAGCGCTTGAGCGTCTGCCCAATGAAGTCCGCGGCACCCTTGGCGTCGAGCTGCTGCTTGTTGGCCTCCTCAGCTTGCCGCTCAAGGAGCTTGGCGCGCTCGCGCTGCTTCTCAAAGAGTGCAGCCTTGCGTCGGTGAAGCTCGGTACGAATTGTGGCCAGAGCACTGGCCGCCTCCTCGTACTCCTGGACCTTCTCGTTGCTCGTGATCTGGCGCTCGAGCATGTGGATGTCCGTGTCCCGGGATTTGAGGGCACCCGGATGACCGTGGCTTGGACTCCTGTTGCGCGTTGACGTGCTTGGCGATCTTGGCGCGCAACTCGTCGGCTGCAGCCTGGACGCCCGTGTGCTTGTCCTCCGAGGCCTCGAGCTGTCTGAGCTCCCAGCGCAGAGCCTGCAGATCGGACGGCTCGATGTCCTCGTCGTCAGCGTCCATGTCGTCGCGGCTCGCTGGGCGGGCCTTGTCGAGCTTCGAGTCCTTGTTCGCCAGCTCCTTGGTCTTGGCCTTCTCCTCGTTGAGCTGCTTCTGCAACCTCTTGAGGTCGGCGTCAAGCTTGGCCTCTCTGCGCGATCCCTTCGCAGGGAGGGCCCGCCGCGGCCAGGAGAGCTTGCTTCCTTCGGCTGGTGTTGACCAGGCCGATCTTGGTGCCCCACAGCGTCTGCAGGATGATTCTCTCGCCCACTTGCCCTTGATGTTGCACTGCGGGCAGTCCCATGACTCGCCGGCGGCGGCATCTGCGGGCGGAGGTGGCATATACCTGACCTGCAGGGCAAAACTGGGCCTCGAAAAGGGAGGCAGGTGGTTGGGTGTGAGACGGCTCGCAGGAGCTTTGCCGCTCCGAATACAAGGCCCCTGTAACCTCAAGAGGATTGAAGCGGAACGGCTAGGAGGAGGAGGAGGAGGCCCCAGGAGGGGCGGGGAGGAGGGGTGAGGGATGAGAATGGGCAGGCGGACGAGGAGAGGGGGGCAGGAGTGAAGGGACGGGTTCGGAGGAGGACAGAAAGGGGGCAGGACGGCGGATGGACGAGGGTAAGGAGGATGAGGGCGACCGAGGAATGGAAGGGTACAATACGTCTGACAGGGAAGGGAGGAAGAGGACAAGGAAGAGCAACATCAGGAGCAGGACCATCAACAACATCGGAAGCATAATAAGGAACAGCAGCCGAGCTTCAAGAAGAGGAGGGAGGAACTTACGCGACCAACATATCAAACAAACAAACAAAAATCGGGCAAGGATAACTAACATATCATAATTCTCCGTCTGTGTCAATGGGTGCGGCCTGGTGGCCTCGACGGCGACGACGACGACGAAAGGCCAGGAACATCTTTGTAATCGTCCACTTCCCAGTGGGGTGTTGCGACCCCCCAGAGATTTCTTCATCGTTTGGTCGCATTGCATCTGCCGCCAACGCGGGTCCCAAAGCTGCACGGTGTGGTCGCCCGCCCCGGTGATGGCCTGCATCGCCTGCATATCAACCTCGGCTGCCCGCGTTTGGAAGAAAGGGCAACAAGTAGCGACACAAATCATCCAGGCTGACTTTTAACTCAAAGATGTACTGGCATCGCGCTGCATCCAAGGAACCCCTCGGGAGATGAGGGCGTTGGGCGGGAGGTCGGGTATGGCTTTCGGCTTGCACTTGGCTTCGCGTCGGACAGGCAATGTGTCAATTCTCGCATAATTCGGATCTGACCTTCTCGCATGTGCAGCACACTTGAAGCGGTTGGCTTCTATAGTTTGACAACTCGTACAAATATCCGACCAGCTCCATGTCGTGTAGTCCATGTGCCCCTTCGAACAAGTAAACTGTTCGACATATGGACATATGGATGTATCGCAAGCGCCGTCTAACAATGTTTCCTCGATATAGCACTTGCAACCGTTATGTCGCAGACCTAACTCGTCTAACCCTGCAAACTTGTTCTACCTCCTTGCGCACTCTGTCTGCTCAAACATGTCAATACAATGTCGCGTACGAGTGCACATGTCTGGTCCACATCGTGTTTGTGCATGTATGTATGTACGTACGTGTGCATATATATATATATATATATATATATATATATATATATATATGTATGTATGATTAGACAGCTGCGCGTCAAGGAGACCAGCCAACAAACACGATTCGCAGGGGATTGGTGTCAATCGGCTACCGTAGCTCGGTGTGGCAATTCGTCGTCGCGGGGTCGTCCAAAAACTGCACATACTTGTATCGATCAGCTTTCTCTTGAAGCCAGGGGTGCTGGACAAGTGAACCCCCGAAACGAATTTCGACATCCCCGGGCCTCCTGGACGCCCATGCTGAACGTCCCCTCGGCTGTCCCGGCCTCCTGGACGCCCCAGCTAGGCCGAGAGAGAGAGAGAGAGAGATTGACCCAAATCGACCTTCACGGCCCCGCGACAGCCCAGAGCGGCTCCACACACGCCCAATACACCCGAAAACCACCTCAAAAGACATTCCAAAAGGCCCTCCAAACAATCCGGCGGTAGGAACCAACAAACATAATCTCCCCAAACTAGCGCGGAAGTGAACCTCATCGTCGTGTTTGTGAGTGCAGCGCGGTTGTTTCCCCGTCTCCTCATCGCCCTTTTCCTTCTCGCCCTTGCGGAGGCCCTCTTCCCGCCCCGCCCCCTGCTATGCCTCTTCCTCGTCCTCCCGCCTCTTCTCCCCCATCCCCCCCCGTCCCATCCAGCAGGGGGGCGCGCATCAATTTTCTTTGGCGCCGTTGCCGCCGCGCCCGGCATTGGCGCGTTCCCGGATGGCCAGATCGCGAAACCGCTAGGACAACGTCGCGGCCCAGGCCGTTGGGGCAACCGCGTAAGTTGCTGGGGCGCGGGAGCAGGGAAAACCCCGCATGTCTCGAGCTACTCGCGGCCGCGTTCAAGCGGGAGGCAACGCGAAACCCAGCACTGCTGCGAGCTACCCCGCTTCAGCCATGGAGTTCCCCGCTCTCTTGTCAAACTCCCTACGTAAGCGCTTTCCGCATGGAAGCTGGCGGCCAGCGCTCCAGGAACTCTCGCGCGGGCGGTCGCAGGACCAGTATGTTCCGCACGCGCGCGGCGTGGGATAATAACGTCGAAGTGCAGCCACCACTGCTCGTCCGACGCGCCCGTGCGATAGGCGTCCTCATCCCTGGCGCACTCTATGGTGACGCCCTTGCGCAGCGCCTGGCCCTGCGACATCGTGGAATTCAGGGTAAGGACGCGTGCTTCAGGGTAGAGCCCGAGCGGCGCACGACGTGCGGCCCCGAGCTCTGCCACATGAGCTCCTGGTCGCTGTGCCTGAGCATGAGCAAGCTCCTCGCCCGCGCCTGTGCCTCGCCGTCGTCGTCAGCGCCTCCGGCTCCCTGTAGCAAGCCGCTGGCCACCTCAAAGCTGCGACGTACTCTTCAATGCCCGTCGGCCTTTGCTCTCCGCCAACTAGACCTCTTGGAACCGTCGGCGTCAAAACTGTGTCCGTCAAAGCCCCATGGGGAGAACCTCCCGCTCGAGATTTCCTTCACGGATGAGCCGCGTGGCTCCTGTTCGAAGTATCCTCGCCGTTCACTCACAGAAGATTCTCCCACTCGAGATGTCCTTCGTGCTCAGACCTCAGGTGCCCCAAAGTGACGACGGTATCAAAATCCCGACGACCCACTCGGATTCACAACGTGAGCTGCGGGCCCTATAAGGAGGGGACTCCCGCCCGAGACTCCCTCGTAATTCGCTGAATGACGAGGCTCCCACCTGAAATGCCCGCCAAACTCAAACTCGAAAGGGCCAGAAATGAAGACAACTACAAGATCCCGATGACCCGCTCGGATTGCAAACGTGAGCTGCGAGCCGCACAGGAAGCGGACTCCCGCCTGAGACTTCCTCGCAATTCGCTCACAGACGAGGCTCCCGCGCGAGACTTCCCCCATACTCAAGCTTGAAGAAACCCAATGTGATGACAGCTGCAAGATCCAGATGACCCGCTTGGATTAATAACATGAGCTGCGGGCCGCACAGGGACGGGGGCCCCATCTGAGACTTCCTCGCAATTCATTGACAGACGAGGCTCCTGCCTGAGACCTTCTCCATACTCAAGCTTGAAAAAGCCCAAGGTGACGACAACTACAAGATCCTGATGGCCCGCTTGGATGAGTAACATGATCTGCGGGCCCTGTAAGGCGGGGGCTCCCGCCTGAAACTTTCTTGCAATTCACTCACAGACGAGGCTCCCGCCTGACGTTTCCTAAGATGAGTGTATGTGTGTGATGATGGTGACGATGATGTGGGAATGCTGATGGCAATTGCGAGGGATGAGGAGGGTATGGTGATGGCGAGTGTGAAAACATGGAGGGTGGTGGTGGTGGTGCTGATATTGATGTTGATGTCGATGTTGATGTTGAGTTTGATAGCGATGATGATACTGATGATGATGCTGATGACCGGTGATCCTGATGGGATGATGGTAGTGACGATTGATGTGGATGGTGGGATGATGATGATGATGCTGGTAACGATGACGACGTTGGGTGATGGTGAGGAAGAAAGGGATCAGGCGAGATCCTGCGCGGGGGGATGGGGCGCACAGGAAACAAGACCCCCACCTTGGTTGTGGGGAAACACAAGTTCCTTGTATGATTGAGGAATAAAGCGGTGCTTCAATCTTCCGAGCTTCCGGGACCGCTCAGAAGGCCCCCGGAAATCGCATCGAAACAGATCATGAGGGCATCCAGAAAGTCCATGAGAGCCCCGAGATGGCCTTACAGGTCCCAATGTGGCCCGAAACTCATTCCGAAAACTCCTCCAGGACCTCTCTTTCGCGCCTCGCGGGTCCCCCCCCCCGCGGACTGGGAAATACGATGACTATGATCTTACACTACGGCGGACCACCTGTGGCTCAGCGCCGTCGGCCTGCACTTCCGCACGTGGACGAGCCCAATGCAAACGTGCAAACGTGGATCGGGTCACCTACCATTCCATGCAATCCGCACGTCATCGTCATCAGAACTATTGTCGTCTCCATCATCATCGTCAGCACATCGTCATCGCGATACCCCCTAGCCAGCAAGGCCTTGTCATGACGACTCGTGCTGGCCGAACCAACATGTCACGTTTCGGGCGATGCCAGGACTGAGGAGCCACGGCTTGCCCAGTCCAGCCGCGAGAGGCAGGATGCAGATGCATCCTCTGGAGGGCACACTGTGATGATTCTTGGCATGTCAGGGTCAGCCTGCATCGAACTGGGACATCGGATCGAATCGGCATGTGGGTCGGATCGGGCTAACTCGGCACAGGGACGAAGTCGAATCGGATCGGCCGCGCCAGGATCCCGATCAGCGCCGCGCGAGCACGGGGCCGCAGCGGATCGTCGGAGCATCGGATTCGCGTCGCACCGGGCCTGCCGAGACGGACATCGGACCTCAGAGGCGACGACAGGGGTGAAAAGCGCAGGGGAGAGCAATACATGTACAGTCGGGGGCTTGACCTAAGGAGCCCAAAATAAGGAACGAGGCCCCTTTTTTCCATGAGTTAAACTTCGATTTCCGATCGAAACATAAGGGAAACCTGAGGCAAGCTGCGAAACACTTACGGAACGCGGAGCCCCTCCCCAACGAAAAGGGTTCCTTCTTCAGGGCCCCGACTGTATCCAGGGGCGCCGATGATCGATGCCTTCGGCGAGGCTCCCGGGCGAGTGCGTGTGATACCCGCCCCATGGGCTGTTCGCCCTTCTCTTGGGCGCCCGAGTTATCCGGGGTAACTCGGGTCCGGGGTAACTCGGGTTTGGATTCCCGAAAAAGGAACCCGAGTTATCCCTGACCCGAGTTACCCCTGATGATTCGGAGCTCTGGGCGCCCGAGTTATCCGGGGTAACTCGGGTCCGGGGTAACTCGGGTTTGGATTTTCGAAAAAGGAACCCGAGGTATCCCTGACCCGAGTTACCCCTGATGATTCGGGGCTCTGATTCTCGTCGCCGCCGAGGGCCGATCGCACCGAGCTGGGCCCGGCGTCGCCCGGGGGCGCAGCCTGGACGCACCACACGGGCCCGTGGTGGCCGGCCATGGAGGCGAGGGGCGCGGAGCGGCTCAAGTCCTGCCGAGCGTTTTTTTTTTTTTTTAGATATAAAAAAAACTGTTCTTCTTTTTTTTTGAAAAAAAAAATAATAAAAAAACCTTTCTCTAGGGGGGGGGGAGGCGCAGGGCGGAGTGCAGGGGGAGTGCAGGAGGACGAGACGCCACCTGGCCCTCTTCCCCTTCCTCTTCCTCTTCTGCCTCCGCCTCGGACCTGCTGCTCCAGCTGTCCACATTTCTCCTCGCCCGTCCCTCCTCTATCTCTCCTCCCTTCGTTCTCGCCGCCTTCTCGTCCTCCTCCTCCTCGCTACCCTGGGCGGACGCAGGCCGTGCTTGGAAGTCCGCAAGGGGCCTGGGCTTGCGAGCGGGTCTTCGCACACATGATGGGGCCCTGGGACACACAAATCAATAGACACAAATGATAGGATTCCCTATCGTTTCCATTGTTTTTCTGGGTTTTCGTCTTCCCCCACCCACTTCCTATATTTTTCAATATTTCTCTGGGAGTCGACGATGGATTGTGTCTGTAATTTTCTGCATGCTGTGGAACTTGGAGTGCCCAGCGCACGAAGCTGAATGCATCAACGCGCACAACTATTGCACAGCAGCTCGGAGCGCCAAAAGGGCACGTGCTGGGCCCAAGCCGGGACAGATGCAGAACAAACACGAGCACACAGAAAGACAGACAGACAGACATACAGACCGACAGACAGACAGACAGACACACAGACCGACAGACAGGCACAGGCATACAGACATACAGACAGACAGACAGACAGACAGACAGACAGACGACAGACAGACAGACAAACAGCCAGACAGACAGACAGACAGACAGAAAGACACACAACACACAACCCACAACCCACAACACAAACACACACAAACACACACACACACACACACGGGTCATGCTGCCTGCAGCCTCTTCGGCCTGAGACTCCCCCCACTAACCACTACCACGTGAACCTCTTCTTGATACGATCCCCTTTGCCGCGAATGACAAAGCAACAGATCTCGCTCCACCCCACGGGCTGAGACCTCCAGAGAACTCGCCAGGCTCGCCTTTCCTCTCCACTACCGCTTGAAATGTGGTCGTTGTCATGATTGCTGCGCTGGCAACCTCCTCGAGAAAACTGGCGTCGTCCTCCACTTCCATCTCCTCCTTCCAACTTCCTGCGTCGTCCTCGTCGTCCTCCTCCAACTCTCCTCCAACTTCCTGCGTCGTCCTCGTCGTCGTCCTCGTCGTCCTCCTCCTCCAACTCTCCTCCTTCCTCCTCTCCTTCCATCTCCACTTCCTGCGTCGTCCTCGTCAACCTCCCATCTCCCTTCCACTTCCTGCGCCTCCTGTCTGCTCCGCGCCGCCGTCGGCCCGCTCCGCCCTCCCGTCGTCGCTCCCTCCCTGCCTTGGCACGCCTCCTTCGAAAGGGCAGTGCTCGGGGGGGCCCACTCGCGGGGGGAAGCATCGATCTTGAATCGGCGATACATCACCGACCGATTGGCGAAAAGCCCACGGTCGAATCCCCAAAGTTCTGGGCGGGCTGGGCCTTCGGGCCCCTGTCGGCAACGAGTGGGCGATCTGGGGTCGATGCGTCAATCCTTGAGCCTCTCAGACTCTCCCCCCTGGTGTTGCCCCTGACCTTCCACTTCAACCCTAACTCCTGGACCTCTGGATGTTCGGATCATAGCTCGGGTTTTGGCGGCCGTTCGGGACGATCTGGGCCCCCCCTGGACGCCCTCCGCGAAGCGCAATCGCTGGAGAGCATCCCGGGGCTGGCGAACCGCCGGGGACCGACGGAAACGTCCGAAAACCTATCGAGCCTATCCCCGGTAACGTTGCCATTGATCCTTGCCGCGGACGTCCCCCCCGCCGGGAACGTCCCAAATGCGCACGGCGTGGTCATTGCCGCCGCTCACGGCCCGCGCGGCGGCCCAGTCTGCCGCGACGGCAGCGGGGGTGCCTGCAGGCTGGGGGCGCGACGCCCTACGCTTGGCGAGCGACAAACGGCATAACATAGCCCCAAGGGTGCCTCAAGAAACTGCCGACAGGCTTCGTCCTCCTCCTCCTCCTTTTCCTCCTCTTCCTTCTCGCTCGCCGCCAACAAAGAATCAGTCAAGCAATATGGGCCGGCGGGGCGAGCGCAGCTGATGCTTCTCGTGCCCAAGATGCTGCGTAGTGCGCACGCAGTTGCGCGATAAAGGTCTCAAACCTGTACCGCGCCAGCCTCACCAGATGACTTGCTACGCTGCATGTTTCACTGGTTCCCTGCAGTGCTCCCGCCCTCGGCCATGCATGCCTCTACCCGCCCACATGCTACATATCACCTCAACGCGCCCTCGATTCTCCAGGCACGTAGACCCAGGGGCGTGAGGGCATGTCTGGAAAATTCGGTTGGGCAAGGCACGTGGGCCTCACCGTCAATATCGTGTCTGTTGTTGTCAGCGCCGCTCAGGGCTGGCATAATTAGAATCCAGATGTGATATCGGCTTCTCGAGCGTATGTCTGAAGTGTCCGGGGACAACCTGTTCCAGACACTTCGCTGTTTTGCCTGCTTATCTTAACCTTTTCTTTAATGCAAGTTCCATCGAAATCCCGAGTGGTGCTCCCTAGCCACTCTGCTGACTCAAGCCTCTCTTCCTGCTACGGACTGTCAGAATTGCCTCGGCTAGTTCGTCGTCGCTAAGTGGGCGGACGGACCGACTACCAAGCTTACGCTGGGAGAGAATGTCACGAGCTTCTCCTGGGCCATCGGCTTCGTCAACATGTCTGCTTCGTTGTCGTCCGCGTGGACCATTTCGAGCTCCAGGCGCGCCACTGCTGCGCAGCCAAGAAACAGGTCTCGATGTGCTTCGTCCTGCCTGCTCCTCTCGTCTTCAAGATGTGCAATGCACTGCTGCTGTCGCTTGCCAAGACAGGCGTCGCGTCTCTTGCAACTCGCTTATCCACGATGCCAGTCCGAACGCCTCGGCTGCTCCGGCTTTCAACGCGCACAGCTCGCATTCCGCTGAGCTCAGGAGCGCGCCGCCCTGACGCCGTGCCCACGACAACACTGTGCGCCCGTAGTACTTCGGTGCAACGCCGTTGAGTGGGATCTTGTCGCCCTTGCTGTCTGCCCATTCCGCGTCCGCGCGGCGCTATGCGATCAGCTTGATCTGTTTGTCTGCTTTCAATGCGAACCTGCCAGGTACCTCGCCGTCTTTCCCAACCTGCGCGGTCCCTCTGAGTTGGTGCCGCCATGCCGCGGCTGAGCACTCCAACTCCGTGCTGTATGTCAGCCATGTGGCTTGGCAGTTGTAGCAACTTTCCCATGCGCATCCTGCGCGCGCCGTGACCTGTTACGTCGTCGCCCAAAAGCTTGACCTCGTTCGTCGTCTCCGGGGCTACTGCGGGTTCCGCCGTCGCAAGCGCGAGCTCCAGTAGCATTTTCGGTCAGCGACGTCTTGCCCATGATGGCTTGGCCGCCATCGATCTTGCGGACCTGCGCGCTCCGGAAGGTGCCCCCGTCGCCTGTGCCGCTTACTTGCGCCGCGTCTGGCAGCCTAAGTTCCTCGGTAATGTCCGCCAAGATTTGGTCTGCCGACACCCGAGGCCCTGTCGCGAAGAAGTCATCGGCGCGTCGTCCTGCCACGGCTTTGTCTTGTGCCCTCATGAAGACGCAGCCGTCGTAACGCCCTCGACCAAGGCCCATCTGCTCCATCGTCGTTCCGCCGTGTCCCCCGATGCCCTGGGCGCCCCGTTGAGTCCCGGGAACGCGCGCAGCCCTTCCCACGCGCGACCTGCTGGTACTCCTGCATTGGGTGGCGGTTCCAAGAAGATCCAGTCCTCTGTCAGGTGGCAGCGACGGAGAGGTGGCCGCGAAATTTTCGCGCCCGCGGGTCTGCTGCTCGAGGCCCCGCGCGCTCCACATATTCTTCTTGCTAACGTCGGCCCGGTCGGTGTCGACGATCGGAATCTGGTTCGCGATCTGCTTGCCGTCGCCAGCGATCTTGTCGGGGTGCCCCATCCTCTCCGCGCGGAAGTCGCCTCCGTTCGCGTAGACCTTTGTCGCCCTCCACCGTCGGGTCCTCGCGCATCTCGCTGACCGCGCAGATCGCGGCGATGCGTGACTTGCCCCTGGCCTGGTCCGCTCCGTTGTCTCCGTCTCGCTCCCGTTCGGGAGCCGCTGTCCCAGTTGCCAGCGCCGCCCTTGCCGCCGCCTGAGCCGGCGGCGCTGGGCTGCTCGCCGCCGCCGCCCCCGCCGCCTAAGCTGGCGGTTCTGGGTCCGCGCCCACGGCTGACCTATGCACGCAGCGCTTAGCTTGCAACCCTGGCCCCACTGACGCCCGCGTCGTCGAAACATGCGGGGCCTCCTGGCGCCGCCGCCGCGGGTCCGGGAGCGCGCGAAGCTACTGGGGCTCCTCCTACTGTGGCTCCTCCTCTTGGCGGGGTTTCTCCTTCTGGCGGGGTTCCTCCTCCTGGTGGGGGGCCCAAGATGATCGGATCCTGGGTCGATCTCCGCGTCGGCGGCGTTCCCCTCGACGCCGGGTCGCCCCCCGAGGCGCCCAGGTCACCTTGTCGAGCGGCTAGGTCACGGCGCTTACTCCCCACCTTCCGCCTGGTCGCCCTGGGCCTGGCAGCCCCCGTCGGGGCGCCGATGATGTGCTCGTCGGCCCCGGCATCTCCGCGCGGCCAGACGCCCCCCCCCCCCCCGAGAGCTCCAATGTGTTGACCTGGGCCCCAGGCCGTCTGCAGATTGCCACCTCGCCCTCGCCGCCTGCCGCGATCGGAATCTGATCTGGCACTTTAGCACGCGCGCGCGTCTGCTCACGGGAGCCAAGTGCACGCCCCCCTTCGCCGCGCGCCCGCGTCAGGGCTGCGCCTCGCAGCGGGGCTGCCGCGCGAGGAGCGGGGCCTCCGACGCGATGCGATTGTTCTCCCGTCTTCTTCAACGCTGCCAACGTGAAGGTTCTGGCCTGCTTCCTCGCAGCCTGGATGGCTCTCTCTGCGCGTCCGCTGGCGCGGGAATTGCGCCTCTCCGCCTGCCTCGTCAAGACGGCCTGGCAGATCCTGTCCAGCAGCGCCTTCTTCCTCACCGCCGCGATGAACGAGAACTCTGCTGCCCCCGCCGACTATGCTTCGACTCGTGAGTGTCCCAATCCACCCAACCGCGCCGCCGCTGGAGCTATCGCGCATGGGTCGTCGCCGCCCTTCTCGATGATGGCCGCGTTCCACGCGCCACCCGTGGAGGCGTCGCTCCCGACTGCGAGTTCAAAGTTGACTGGGTGGCCCCCCTCTCCTGCCTGACCGCGATCGAAACTGACCTGCGGAAAGGTGGCGCCCTTCCTGCCACAATTTTTGTCTGCCGCGTCATTGGCCTTCGCCTGCGCACAGACCTCGCACCGGGCTTCTGCTGGGTAGTACGTTTGTTCGCGCCTCTCAACCCATCCCGCGCTCGGTTCGCGTGATCCCGCGATGCCCCGCGCGACCACCTCGAGTTCCCAGTGTGCGCGATCGTTGGGGATCGCCGCTGGCGCTCCCCTGGGCACATAAGCCTCTGCGTCCGCTGCTGGCCGCGCCTCCACTGCTTGAGCTGGCGTCCACCTGCCGGCGCCCGCTCTACCGCATGTCCGCCATCTTCCTCTCCTGGTCGGGATGCGGGCGACGCTCCCGTTGGCGCCGCGCGCGTGCCGTTCGCCATCGAGCAGTCCTGGAAGTGCCCGTGCCTAGCCCAGCAGTCGAGTGCGTAGTGGTCGTTGACCTTCCTCACCCCGACGAGTTTCGCAGTCTCTCGTCGCAGCGCTCCCCCCCGTCCGTCGTGCCGCGCCGCCTGGTTGCCGTGCCTCATGCGGAACTTGCAGCGCTCATGATGGGCTGTTTCGCGTCCGTCACTTGGAATTTTAGGAGTATTTTATGGTTGCCAGCGACGTAGAGTGCCGCCGTCTTCTGGCCGTTGTGCTTCAGCGGGGTGCCGTCGGCCACCGCCGCGTGCGAGTTCCTGCTGGGTGATTTGGGTGCCCGTGGGAAGTCGCGCTGGCCGCGCACGTGCTAGTCCGCGCAGCTGTCGGTCAGCATCAGCACGCTGGTCCACTCGCCCTCGGTCCTCACATTGTTGATCGTAGGCCCCTCCGTCACCGCGAAGATGTAGCCAGGCTCCAGCTCGGACTCGGCGGCCGTCGCTTGCTGCATGATGGATGCGGCCCTTCCCGGCGTCGCCTCGTCCTAGGGCCCATGTGCCCCGATCTGGCTGGCAGACGGCCATGCAATTGACACCGCCGCACTGCAGGGCGAAGAGCCCGCCGACGACTGGGCATCCACTTGCGCTAAGAGCTCGGTGACCGAACCGCCATGGCTGGTCCTATCCCTTCCTTTGCCGCTGGGGCCCCCGCGACCGCGCCCCTCGGGCCCTGTCTTGCCGTCGACGTGGGCTGGGCGCTAGCAGCCCCTTGCGTAGCGCCCCCGGCGTCCGCAGTTGAAGAACTCGGGTCTGGTGTCTGCCTGGTTCGTCTTCCCACCTGCCTTTCCTCCTGTATTTCCGCCTTTGCATCTATCGCCCTTGCCCCCCTTTGCCTCCGTCGCCCTTGCCCCCTTTGCCGCCGTCGCCCTTGCCGCCGTGGCCGCTGCCTTTGCCCAGGCCGTGGGCCCGAGTAAGCGCGTCGACCTCTGTGGCAGTGGGTTCCTTTGGAGGTCTACGTGGTGGGGGTGGGCCTCTGGTACCCGACGTCGTAGATCGTCGCCGCCTTGCGGTGCTGCGTGGTGGTCGCCACGTGCTCGTCGTAGGTCCGTTCGCTTGCCATCTGGAGCGTCGTCCTGATGTTATTGGGCGCCTTCTGGAAGTAGATACTCTTCTTCGCGCCCACATTGAAAACTTCGCCTGGAGCTTTCTCACGGCGTGTGATGTCACGTTCCCACTCCGCGTGAGCCTCCTCGAGCTCCGCTTGGGTACGTGGGAACTGCTTGATGTTCTGGATGTTTGTCATGATGCTCTGGGCCCGAACCGCCGTAGTTGTCTCGTGCCCATTGCACAACGCTCTCCAAGCTACTGCGCCCTTCTGTTTTTCATCTTCTCATGACATCATCTGAGCACTGCCTTTCACGGTCGTGGCCAAGCCAAAACAAACATCGGATGGTTTGCCGTGGTACCATCATCGTCCAGCGAGTTTTACGGACGTGCACAACCGAGGTGTCAGGCTCGTTTCTGAGATCCTCAGCCGCCATCAGCAAGCGTTGGGATACCTGCGTCTGCCCTCCGAGGAAGGCTCTCATCGCAAACGACCGCCCCAGCCAATGCTCCTCGAGTCCGTCGATGGTGGGCGGCTTGAACCCGCCTCCCCGCGACGCCTGCCGCCATTGCTGTGGTCTACCTGCTAACTCCGCCCCGTTATCTCCCGAACGCCCTTGGTTGCTCGGTTGAACCAGGGCCCCGTCTGGCGGGCTTCTCCTCGACTGCTGGTGCCGTTCTACGATCTGCCGTGGATCGCCCGCGATGGCGCAGCTACGCGCGCGTGGAGAGGCCAGTGCCGGCAGGGGGCGCTAGCAGGAGCTGACCTCGGCCGGCTTCTCGTGCCAAAGAGGCTGCGGAGTGCGCACATAACTACACAATGAAAGCTTCGTGTCTGTACCGCAACATCTGAATTCGGCAGGTCCCCTGCGGGCCGTGGCCGTCTTCGCCGTCGAAGGTAGGTGATGAGATGTAAGATGATGGAGGAGAGCGAGATGGCATCCTTGACGCGTACTAAGAAGGGCTTCGCGGATTCCGCTGGCCGATGACGTTTCGAAGGAAGCCAATGTTTATGAATTCTCCTGGGGGGCACGTGCAAATCCGAGCGAAACGTCGCGCATCCCGCCAGCCGATTCCCCCCATGGGGACACATACAAAATACTAGTGAAATGTGCTCCCAGCACTAGGAACGCACGCGTGACAGCTCGTGGGGCACGTAAAAACACGAGTGAGATGCGGTTTCGAGGCAGCAAGGTCCTCGCTTCGGTACAACCCTGGCGCCTTTCTCGTCTGACTCTATTCTGCGGCACAAAAAACTACTAGTGAGTAGCGCCGTGATGGCTCCGACACTGTCATTTTGGCACACCCCATCATGCAGCTCCTGCTCCACACTCTATCCGGAAGCGTGAACATACGAGCGGTCTGCGCTTCGCGGGTGAAAAAGGGCACAATTCCAAGCACCATCAGTGGATTTCCTGCCCCACACTCTACTTGGACAGGTGGAAATACGAATGATCTGCGTTCACAGGTTCCTGGGACACGAAAACGAACAAGTGATTTGTGCCTCGAGGCTCATGGGAGGTGAATTGTTCTTTCCATTTTGATGGGGACCTTGATTCGGGATCTCCCTCACGCACTTCGTGAATGTTCGGCGCTCAGCTGGCCCCCTAGACGGCTCCTTGGAGCCCCACTTCGGCACACCCCTCACGCACGCCGTGCCCCATGGACACCAAACGGCTCGTAGCTAGCCTCCAAGACCGCCTAACCCCCAAGGGGCGTACATGCGCCCAAAAAAACACATTGCAAGGATTGGTACCGACCCTCGTCTAGGCAGTATCCCTTAACACCCGCTGTTTGCAACATCTGCGTGCAAGCTTCCCCCTGGGAGCCCGCCGTGACTCCCGATCTACGGGCTCAATTCGGCGGGCCCCCTGCGGAAACTCGCCGTGTCGAACTCCGAGAGAAGATCCGGAGATGAAAGAGACATGGAGGATGCTGAGAAACGTGCGTGAAGGCAGGCGAAGAGCGGCATCACGCATTCCGCTGGCCTCAGGCCAGCGTCAGGATGACCGGTTTTACCAATTCTCCTGGGGGCACCTGAAAATACAAGTGAGACGTGCCCCCAGCGCTAGACCCACGCGCGTGACAGCTCATGGACACGTAGAAACAAGAGTGAGATGCACCCTCAGGGCTGCGGAAGCTTAGTTTCGGCGCGCACCTCACACATGTTCTCTCTGATATCAGTCTGGGACGCGTGAATACACGAGTGACCATTTCCTGTCTGGCTACGACGCTGCAACTTCGGTAAAACCCGAATGCATTTCCTGCACTCCGAGGGCCACGAAGGGCCCAATTCTAAACGCACACACCTGGCGCATTTCCTTCACCACACTCTACTGGAGCACGTGAGAATACGAATGATCTGCGCTCTCAGGCTCCTGGGACACGTCAAACAATAAGTGCCTCAACGCTCCTTGGAGACGTAGCAATGACAGCGATTTGCCATTCAAATTTGATGGGAACTTGATTTCGGCACAGCCCTCACACACTTCGTGAATGTTCGGCGCTGAGCTGGCCCCCGCGGCTTCTTGGAGCCCCACTTCGGCACACCCCTCATGCACGCCATGCCCCAGCTAGCCTCCAAGGCCGCCTAGAACCCCAGGGGGCGCAAGTACGCCCCCAGGAAGCATTGCAACGATTGGTGCCGACCTTCGTCGAAGCAACATCCCTAACACCCACCGCTCGCAAAATCTGCGTGCAGACTCCCTCCTGGGGGCCCGCTGTGACTCCCGATCTGCGGGCTCAATGAGCTTTTCCGCGATCGGGGACGCCTGCCCCAGGGCGGCTGGAGTGTTGACATCCCCACCTGCCCCCGTATAGGGGTGCAAACTTCCCAGCCGCCATGGGAAAAGCGCCCCCGATTGAGGAATAACTCAATGTACACCGCTCTTCGCCCGCTAATGCAAGACGCTCCCGCCTACTCTTAAGTCGGGCCTGTCCCCCTACAGGGGGACTTTCGACGAAAAAGAAAAATGCTCAAACATATTCCAAAATTGAAAAAAAAAACCAAACAAACAATCCCCATACTATTTTTTGAACATGTTTGAAGATTCCCCCTGTAGAGGGACAGGCCCGACTTAAGCCTACTCGCTCCTGCCCTGGGGCCAACTCGCTCCTACTCGCCGCCGCCTTCCGCCAGACTTCCGCCGGCGGAGCCGCCGCCGTGTACTTCCGCCGGCTTTCAGTCGGGCGTGTCCCCCTACAGGGGGATTTTGGGCGAAAAATAAAAAAATACTCAACAAAAATACCCTCCAAGTGCTCAACAATAGTCAAAACATCGTCCCCAGACTATTTTGGATCATTTTTGGGCGAAAAAATAAAAAAATACTCAAAAAATGCCCTCCAAATGCTCACAAATAGTCAAAACATCGTGCCCAGACTATTGTTTGTGACTACTTTTGGAGATTCCCCCTGTAGAGGGACACGCCCGACTTAACGCTGGCTCCCGCCGCCCTCCCGTGGGCTTTCGCCGAGGGCGGGACGCGCCGAAGCGGATGCCCCGTTTGGCGCGCCCGCCCCTGTTTTTACTTCCGCCGGCCTTCCGCAGAGGAAGGGGTACAGTCAACCCGTAGAGCAGGGATGCGCGATGAGGATGCAAAGGGCCTTGGCCGCCCATTGCGAAGCTTTTCGAGCGGGCCGCGGCCAACGAAAGCGGCCGAGGATGGGCCGAGAAGGCAGGGATGCAAGCGTACCCTTGGGAAGGTTGCCAAATCCGTACTGTGCGGGCTGACTGCGTGAACATCCCGGCCCCTCGAAGGCGAGTCGCCTTCTCTGCGATGCACAGACGGGCGCCGTGGGCAGGCCTGCGGGTGACCCGGTCGGCCCAGTGGTGAGCCCTCCGCTCCGGGAGGCCCTTCTCCGCCTGAGCCTCCACCTCGACGAAGGCAGGCTGCAGACAACCTCGGATCGAGACGATGCGGGGATCTCTGGTGGCTGGCGGGCCTGGGGGACGTATCGGGCGCCGCAGCCGTCTCAGAGAGCCTCGGAGCGATCTGTACTTCTTCGTCCTGGGCTAAGGGGCCGTCGCAAAACGACTCGGTAAAACAGGGCTAGAATCAGGATAAATCGCTCCAGAGCGTTCCGGAGCGCTCCCAGAGCGTTCCGGAACGCTCTGGAGCGGCCGCGGCGCCCGATACATCCTCCAAACCCGCCGATTCTCAGAGATTTCGAGTTATCCCGATCCGATTTTGTCCCGATCTTCGCGTCGTTTGAGACTGGCCCTGGGGAAGGGGTTTTGAGAGGTCCCGGGGCCCCTCACTTCGAAGAGTTCGAGGCGCCGGACGTCAGGGGAGGGAGGCCCCCCTCGGACGGCAGGGGAGGGGCCCGCCTGCATGCGCTTCTTCGCCCGCGGCGTTCCTCCCCCTCCAAGGCCACGCCAACAGCGATGTCGGTGAACGGCGACGTTGGGAATCTGGTTCTTGCGGATCCGAGCTCGCGCAGAACAGGGTGAAGGAACGCACGAACGAGCCTCTCCTACGACGTGGCTGGCCACGAACCACCCCCAACCTACAATGCTGGAACCCAAATCGCCGTTGCCTACATCACCGTTTAGGTGTTCGGGTGTCGCTAGAAGTGCCCCTGGCCCAAGGTACCCCCAGCTTATCGCTCCATTTTGGAGCCCCTGGGGCCCTCTGTGCCTCGTGAGGGGTGCCCTGGAGGCCGCTTGGGCCACCCCGAGAACCCTGGGGGTACCTTGGGCCAGGGGTACATCTAGCAACACCCGACGTGTCTACGGCACCCTACTTGTCGGAAGTTCCCAAGGCATCGCGCCGCTGGGCCTCGATGTCCAGCCATCGCCGGCCCGCAAGCTGCCGCGCCTGCAGCCACGTCGTGGACCCGCAGCTCGCAGCGCGGGGGGCCTCTGGGAGCGGCGGCCTCGCACCCCTGCCTCCACACCTTCGTCGCTCCTCCTCCCCCATCCCCCCCTTCCCTCCTTCCCTCCTCCCTCCTTCCTCCTCCCTCCTCTTCTCCCCCGCCCTCCTCCCTCCTCCATCATCCATCCTGCCACCCACCCTCCTCCATCCCGTCCCTCCCCGTTATCCCATCCTCCACTTCCTCCTTCCTCCATTCCGTCCTTCCTCCCCCTCTCCCATCCCTTCTACTCCTCGGCGTCCTTCTCGTCGGCCTACGCCCTATTCCGCCCTCGTCGTCGTCCTCCTCCCCCGCGGACTCCAGCGCATAGTGGCTAAGATATTGTGAAAGGTGCGGAAGGTCAGTGGTGAGTTTTGAAGTCTTTGGAGCGCCAGGCCCCGCAGTCGAGAGGCTCGCTTGAGTGCCAGAACCTTCTGACGGTGAACCCCGCACGATACCAGTGAGGGGGCTCTCTTCTTGTGCAAGAGGCCGACCAGAGCTACAAAGAAGCTGGAGACACGCGAAAGACGTGGGCGGCCGATGCGCAATTGAACAGCAGCCGAATGTTAGCTTACAGCAAGCTCAAGATAAGGGAGGGACGAACTGATTACATACACACCAACGGAAGTTAACGGCAAACGGCAACCAAGCTGAATGCACGCCAACATGCAAGCCGAGTGCAGCTAAAGGCCATGTGCCAGTCATCCCGTTACAATATGACGGCCGACCAGAAGTCAAGCTAACGACATGTTCAAAGCGCATGATGGAAGTTGCGGGCAACCCAGAGGCAGGGTAAGTTCAAGCTGCCCGCGGCAAAAACATGTGCTAGGGGAAGGGATTCGTACTGTCAAATGATGGTTTGCAGCCCGTTGCGTCGGTCGGGGGCGTCTTGTACCCGACTGTCGCACTCGGGGCGAACTCTAGCATCCCGAATCCGTTCTTGAAGACTTGCCACGAGCTCGGCCTGGGCAGCGGTGGAGTGCGCACGCAACTGGAAGACGGTGATGTGCTCCACCGTGTCCGTCGCGTCCAGCGACAAGCCCTAGGCCTTTGCCAGCGCCATAATGCCCTGCGTGATGGTATTCCGCATGTCGGCATTGTTCTCCATGGGCTTCTCGCACGTCGGGTTGATGCGGGTGGCACCCTCGTGTGTGTGTGTGTGTGTGTGAACGCCATGGCAGATATAGTCGAGCTTCTGATGTCCAGTGCGAATTTGCAAAGTTGTTCTCGCAGTGCTGATATGCTCTTCTGTGGTGTCTCTCTGCAGCTCTATGAAGTCCGGATGCAACCTGGCCGATGCAAGGCCGGCCCATGCAGTGAGCGCTGCTTCCAAGGCTTGTTGCCATTCTGGGGACGCCCCCCGTGCCACTATTTCGACAGATCCGCCTGTAGCGCCCGATGAGGCATGTGCATTGGGAAGCTCCTGCGGCTTCATGTGCATGAAATTGTCCAATATGATGGGCAAAGACAACTGCAGCCTCTTGTGGCGGGAAAGTGGCGATGTCTTGGGTAATGCCGTTCCCTGGATCGACCTGCTGTAGAGGATCGGCTCCGTCTCGGGGCGTCTCGATGTCCGTTGGCTGCAGGAGGAGGTTTGCCGTGCAAGTCCACGCTAGGACGAGAAAACAAAGTCAAATGCGATTGGCTCTGGATACTTTCTGGCAATTCCAATGTTTCCAGCGGACTTCGGCCCTCCGTACTCGCCTAGTCGTCTCTGGCCGCGCAGGACAACAAACTCACCTGGAGATCTTGGAACGCATCGCGCGCACCACATCAAGAGTCCGAAGCACTGAACTGGAGCTACTGCTGCTACTGCAGCTTCACACTTCGCAATATGCAACCGGGGGAGAGGGGGGAGGTAGAGGGAGAGAAGGAGCAAGGACGAGGACAGAGAAGAGAGTGATGGCCCAACCCAGATCCTGCCGCGGCTGCTCCGCGGTCCACCGCGAGGCGGAGGAGGGGAAGGGAGGGAGTGCCTGACCCTGCTAAGCTCATCGCACCTCATCGCCTGCTCCTCCACAGATCCCTGGGCACCGCCTTCGAAGCCTCAAGGCGCGGCGCCCTCTGGGAGGGCTGGCCTGCGACTTCTTGCTCCTCTGATGGCTGCCCTGCCTCGGGAGGCGGACCCTGGGCGCCTGCCAGAACGAACGCACCGTCCAGGGCTGCCATCCGTGGCCTCCGCAACTGCGCGGCGGCGGTTGCTCCTGCGTGCGCGTGCGGTCTGACGATGTGTGGGTGGCGACGTTCTCGAAGGTCTCCTTTTGAGAAGCACAAGAACCAACACAAACAGAACTTCCGCAAATCCTGGAGGAGCTCCGACAGTTATGTGTATGTAGCTCTTCTTTTCTGAATTTGTTGGTGGACAAGGCGCCACCAACATGTTGCCAATCAAGTGCGTCTGCTTGCTCAACGCGGGAAATTGAAACAGAACATGGCACGAGACGAGTTCCGCAATAGAACGTCACAGCCCCATGGTGAGAGAGGAGGGCGACGACGGCGACGTCCTCGACGATCCCTCTCACGATCGTGTCCGCTCTGCGAGGTATTGCGAGGTGCGATATGGGAGCCGTCGCCGCTGGGATGTTCGCCTGCTCGCTGCCTGGGGGCCGCCACCCAGCCCCTGCCGACACGAACCCGATGCAGCGAGATGCGGGCGAAGAGGCAGCGCACTCCCTCGCAGCCTCGCAGGGCGAACCCTCGACTTTGGGTCTATATGGTGGGTTCCAGATACCCTGAACCCCAATGCATCGCCATCTCTTGGAACACAGACGTTTGCGTCTGCTGGCTTCCGCCTCGTTTACTTCTGCCGCCATCCGCCGCCTTCCGCAGAGGAAGAGATGGCGACTCCTTCGGTCACTCGAAGCCGAGGCCCTTCCTGCAACGCGAGCCTCCCCCTCTGGGCGAAGGGCGAGCTTGTGGACACCGCCTGGGGGCCGTGAGCATGAGCGGAACGCTGATGTGGGTCCCTCTAAGCCGAGGCCCTTCCTGTAACGCGAGCCTCCCCCCTCTGGGCGAAGGGCGAGTTTGTGGACGCCGCCCGGGGGCCGTGAACATGAGCGGGACGCCGATGTGGAAACTTTGAAGGAGCTGCCCGCGGACCAGCAGCCTCGCTGCGGCGACGGGGCAAGAGAACACAATCAATCGAAGTGGCTACGGAGAGGACGATGCTGATCACGAGCGCGCCAACTCACAATCACCATCATACTCATCATCATCATCATCATCATCATCATCATCATCATCATCATCATCATCATCATCATCATCATCATCATCACCGCAACCATCATCATCACCACCATCATCATCACCATCGTCGTCATCACCACCATCATCATCACCATCGTCGTGATCATCAGCATCATCATCAACATCATCATCACCATCATCAGCATCATCATACGATGGTTCGTTATTTCATCGCGCAAGGATGGATGTTGATGGTGATGGTGATGATGGTGATGGTGATGATGGTTGTGGTCGGGATGGTGAAGATGCTGCTGGTGCTGCTGCTGATGATGATCATGATGCTGCTGGTGATGATAATGATAATGATGCTGCTGGTGATGATGCTGATGGCGATGGTGATGGCGATGGTGATGATGGTGGTGATGGTGGGGACTGCTGCTGCTGATGATGATGAGGATTATGAGGGTGATGATGACGATGATGAGGATGATGCTGCTGATGATGATGATGCTGCTGATGATGATGATGACGGTGACGGTGACGGTGACGATGACGATGACGATGACGATGATGATGATGATGATGATGATGATGATGATGATGATGATGATGATGATGATGATGAGGGTTGAGGGTGATGATGATGATAATGATGATGATGATGATGATGGTGATGATGATGATAATGATGGTGATGATGATGATGATGATGATGATGATGATGATGATGATGATGAAAAACATAGCGTGGCGGGTGGAGGATGAGGGTCACGGGGAGAGTGAGGACTCGGAGGAGGCAGAGGATGGTGCGCAGGCGTCTCCCCCCAGGCCTTCTCCACGCAGCACGCGGGGCCCAGGCCTCGGGCGGCCAGAAGCAGGGCACGGTCAGCTCTCTGCATTCTCTTCGCCGCGCCGTGCGCCCCACTCGATTCTGCATAGGGGTCCATCGGATAAGGACTCCAGGGTCTGGAAGCCAGTGGGACTGCCATCGTGGGTTGGCCTCGGATATCGACGCCGCTCTCTTTAGGTAAGGAACCCTCCAGGGTCTGAAGCCTCCTGAACACGTCCCTTAACGAACATCCTCACCGTAGGAGTGGGTGGCCCTACCGAGTTTTCAAGTCAAGACTGCCTTGGAAATCACACGCCCACCGCAGGCGCATCATTCTAGCTAACGGAGACACGCTTCAATCACAAGCCCGCTGCAGGTCTCTGTTCTCTAAACTCAAGCATAACCTTCACTAGAGGTCAAGAGCACGCCGCGGGCGTCGATTCTTCACACCACCTCTGGTGCCCAACTTCAGGGAGCCGCGGGGGAGCCAGATCCAAGCGCGCAGACCGCTTCAAGCCGGTGCTGAGGGGACCTCGGCGGGCCCGCACAAATAGAGGCCTCCTGGAGGTTGCCATCGGCGATGTATCGGCAATGCATCGGCGATGCATCGGCGACGTGGGCGGTGCGTGCAGAAGATCGGTCTCTACACCGAGCCGCATCGCCGATGCATCGGCGATGCGGCGGAATTCCCCGACCCCATCTACTCCGACCCCATCTGGGAGGCCTAGAATAATGGGCCTGTTTTCCACCACCACCACCACCAGAAGTTGGAGGGTGGAAGGTGGAGGATGAGGAGGAGGAAGAGGAGGACGAGAAGGAGGAGGATGAGGAGGAAGAGGAGGAGGAGGAGCAGGAGGAGGAGGACGAGGACGAGGAGGAGGAGGAGGACCCCCTCCCCCTCCAACTCATGGTGGTGGTGGATGTGGAGACCAGGCCCATCATAGAACCAGGGGCTGCTCTGGCGAAGGACCGCTTTGACGCGTGGCCGATGTGTGCGCCCCTGCGCCGCCCAGGCCGGCGCCACCGCTGGGCCTCACCCGCACGGCTGCCGGCCCCGGCCTCTTTCCCCCTCCAAGGCCTCACGACTCCGCGCCCCCCCTTCCTGGCCGGGCCCCGCTGACCCCCCCCGTGGCCCAACGAAGCCGAAGCCTCTCCCCCTCTAGAAAGGGGCCCAGGAGCACACAAATCGATAGACACAAACTCCGGGTTTCCCGGCAGTCTTCAATACCTCCTGGACCTCCTCCTCCCCCGCCGTTCCCAGTCTATTCCCACATCCGCCACCGTGCCTCCGCGCACGGAAGGGGCGTGTCCTCAGCTCCCTTCCCTAAACCCTTACGCGTGAGTCCTCAATCCTGGAAGCCAATTCCCTAATTTCCTGAAATCCCTTTCGTGAATTTGGCTTTCAAGCCAACGTTAAACTCCCTAATTAGTGAAGTTGGCTAATGAGTGAAGTTGGCTTGAAGTCAGAGTACCCCTTTCCCTAATTTCCCTAATCCCTTACGCGCCAGTCCTCAACCCTGGAAGTCTTCAAAGGGCCCGAACCCCAAGCTGCCAAGTCTCTTGGGGCTCGCCGCGTGCCGCCTGAGCCCTGGATCGTCTTCTCGCGTGCGCTTTTGGGGGCCCACGAGGGCCCCAAGACGGGCCAATGGGGCCCCCGGAGCCCCCCAAGACGGCCCAAGAGGGCCCCGAGACGCCCCAAGATCAATTCACGACGCCCACGATGGCCCCAAGACGGCCCAAGAGGCCTCCGAGATGCCCCAAGAAAGCCGCAAGAGCCTTCCCACGAGGGCCGCGAGAGGCCAACATTGTAGATTTTCCATCTGTTTTTCAATGATGTTTGGGTCCTCGACTTTTCGAGCGCTGGACGTTCCAAGACGGCCCAAGAGGCCCCCAGGACCGCCCCAAGAGGTCCCAGGAGGGCTCCAACACGGCCCAAGAGGGCTTCAAGACGGCCCCAGAAGCGCCCAAGAGGGGCCAAACACAGCCCCAAGAAGGGCCCAAGAGGGGGAACACGAACCGAAAATCCGAGTCTTCCGCCCGAGAGGCCCCCAGGAGGCCCCAAGGAGACCCCCAAGAGACCACAAGAGACCCTCAAGAGGCCCCGAAGACGACCCAAGAGGCCTCAAAACAACCCAGGCACGCTGGCGGGATGGGCCGAAGGCCATGGGCTTTGCATGGAAATCAACTTTTATGTGTGTTTGTGCTTGTTTTTTCCCTCCTGACTGAGATGGAGCCGAGCCAGGACTGGAACAAAATCGGACCAGGACAAAGTGAGAAATTATCTCTGAGATCCAGCGGTTCCGGAGCATATATCGGGCGCCACGTCCTCTGGAGTGCTGAGGAAAGCCATGCGTTCCAGAACGCTCTGGAGCGATTCTTTATCCTGGTCCTGGCCCCGCCCGAGCTCCCACCTGCCGGGAGGAGGAGAAGCTTCACGGCCCCAGAGCATTGGACTCTTACGCGTGCGACCTGGAGCGGATCTCGCGCGAGCCGGCACCCCTCACTCCGGCGTCCGGCACCTGACTGTCTCTCTATCTCGGCGCTGCGCCGAGGGGGAAGCGAGAGGGGGCAGGCCTTCTCCGGGGGAAGGGGCTCTTGGAAAGCACGGGCCTCCTGGGAGGGCCCAGGAGGCTTCTCGGAAGGCCTCCTGGAAGGCGCCGGGCCCTGATGAGAAGGCCCCTGCCTTCTGAGAAGGCCCCTCCACCGTCTTAGAGGCCGGACCCCCTCAGAACCACCCCTTTGATGGGCGCGGCCACTGGCCATCGCTCGGACGTCCATTTCCTGTGTTTTTTTCGGTTTCGTGCGTGGTTTTTTCGCCAAATGATCAAGGATGCTCCTCGATGGTCCTCGCCGAGGAAAAAACGCACACGTCCGAGCGATGCCACGGCCAATGTCTGTCTGCATCTGTGTCCGCCCATGTCCGTTCCGATCCGTGCCCACTTCTCGCTCTCTCCGTCGCCCTCCTGCTCCCGACGTCAACAGCTTGGCCTGCCCAAGCTCCTCCCTCCTGCCTGTGCTGGTCGTGCGGGTATTGCGGGCGCTCCTTGTGCAGTCATCGTGCCGATATGAGGAGCCCATCATATGAGGAACGAAGGGGCTTCTCTGGCCACGGCGTGCCCCGGCCACAAACAAACTCCACGACCCACAGCTAAGGCAAGGGCCCGAGCACCCGAATCCCTCCCGAGCCTTGAACTGGTCCGTATTTCAGCGCCCTGACTGTGGTGCAAGCGTGCGCGCGTTCATGCTCAAGCGCGTCTGCACGCCATGGCTGGAAGACCCGCGCCAACGCGCGCTGGTGGCAGGGCGGCGGGGGCGAGGGGCAGCGGGTACCGCAGGCAGCCAACTCCGGCCCCACGACCGCCACGTCCCAGGCAGTGATCGCAAAGCACGGCTGGGGTGGAGCAGGACGGACAGCGGCCAGAGCAGTGGCTGCAGCCTGAGAGTAATGAGGGCGAGGACCTGGCAGACGAGGGAGGCAGCGGAGGAGGAGTGGGGGAGGGGGGGGAGAGGCTCACAGGGAAAGACTGCGATAGCGCTTTGAAGAACGCGGCCTGCTCCAATCCACCGCCAGCTGCCAGACCAAGCCTGGCGCCACCTGGCAATCTTAAGGCTACGCAAGCCCAGATGGAGTGAAGAGGCAACGACGATTACCACCTCCGCTCGGATGCACCAATTGTCACTCAGCTGAAAACCAACCACATCACATCAACACGAATGCACAATGAATGTTGTACAATAGCGGGTCCTCACTCCTTCTTCAGGCGAGCTCCGCAATGCCTGTTGCGGAGGGACCCCGCGAACCCATGAGAGCGACGAGGAGCCACACCGTTGTGCGCACTCACATGTGGTCAACGAATGCTTGCGCCCCTGGCCAGAATCAATCACAAATCGATGCCCGCACTCCCACGCGCGAAGCCTTTCCGCCCACCCCCTCCATTCTCACCCCTCACACGTTCCCATAACTCCGACGTTGCAATTTTTTCCAGAACGTGGCTCCCAAAGATCTGGACCCCTTCTCCAGGGACCGGCTTTTCATCCTGAACCGATGTTTGACGGCCTTGGGGCCCAGCAAGGGGCCCCTGGGGCCGAAAACGGCCAAAAAACAGCAGTCGTCGCGTTTTTGTTCACGACGCGGGTACGCCTGGGTCCCTCATCCCGCCCCCCCCTCCCCTCCTATTGCTCCTCCCCTCGGGGAACCTGTTCTGCTTCGCGATCGTGGCAGAAGCAGTCCGCACGCGCGCCCCGGCGAGCCCGGGGCGCGCGGCATCGCGAACTGCCCGCACTTTGACCGTCGGGTGGGTGTAAGTGCGGTAAGAGGGTTGTATATCCGATGAAATCGTTTCAACGAAGATGTATGTAGGTTCATGCTAGTTGACCTCGCGTATTCAACATACATAAAATATCGAACTTAGCATTCATCTACTTAACGTTTTGTTAGATAAGTTTCTTCCCCCCCCCTCCTCCTGCATGCATGCAGGAGGAGGGGGGGGGGGAAGGCGAGACGGGGCGGCCGCGGGAGGGGGGCCCCGGGCGCGGCGGGGACGCTCTCGCGCGGCAGGGCTGCGGCGAGGGGGCGGGGGGGCGGCCGGGCGGAATGGGCAGCCCCTTCGGCAGCCGCCGCGGGGCGGCACCGCGACAGCACCGCAGGGGGGGGCGAACCAGCGGCCGCAGTGCAGTGCCACTGCGGGCGCCCAGCAGGGCGGGGAGGGGGCGCAGCGGGCGGCCGGAGCACCGGGGCGCACCGGCCGCGCGAGGGCGGCGGCCGCGGGGAGGGCCGGAGGCAGGCCGGGGGCGCGGGGCGGCCGGCGCAGCAGCAGCTGCGAGGGCGGCCCAAAGGCGGAGAGCAGCGGGCGGGCCGGCGGCGGGGCCGCGGGGCGGCCCATCTCTCGGGGAAGAGGCAGCGACGTCAACGTGAAGGCTCGGAGGTGCCTGCAGAGTTCTCGCATCGGCATGGGGGTCCCCTGGCGGCGCCTCCAGCGCCGATCCGAGGAATCTGCGCGGACCTTCGAGTTTGTGCGCTCATGTTCTTGTTTGTTTCCCTATCCTTCTAGCCGTTATCCTCCTCCCAGCGTCTCCAAAGGGTGTGGTTCGCACAGGGTGTGGTTTGCAACCGGCAACCTGGGCAACCCTGCGGGGTCGGGCGGGGGTTTCGATATAGTTCTCCGTCGCGCCCCGAGGAAGCTCGACGAGCCTGGCCCTCCCAGGGAGCCCACAAGAAGGATGTACGACGGCCCCCCAGTCTGCAAGGTTAGCCTCGTGCTCCGAACGCCCGCGCAAAACATACTTTCGAACCCAAAGTGGGTTCATGCAGGCGTTACGTCTTTCCTTCGCGCCTGACCTCCCCCTCCCGCCGCCACACTCCTGGCTGCAGGCCCGCCTCGACGGGCGCGGCGTGGGCGCCCGAGCGGAGGGAGCAGAGCCTGGCGCCCGTGCTGCCGCGGGGGGTGAGACCGGGCGCGGGGAGGGAGCAGCGGAGGAGGGCGGGGTGAACGGCCGGGGGGGCGGGGCAGGGAGGAACGGAGGGGGGCGGGGGAACGGCGGAGGAGCGGCGGAGGGGGGGCGGAGGAACGGCCGAGAGGGGCAGGGGAACGGCCGAGGGGGGCGGGGCAACGGCGGAGGGGGGCGGAGGGGAGGAGGGGACGGCGGAGGGGAGGGGGGAGCGGCGCAGGGATGGAACGGCGGAGGGGGGGGGGGGCTGGGAGGGTTGGCGGCGCGCACCTGGGGGTGGCGCGAGGGGGGCGGCCTTCTGAGCAGGCGGCGCGTCTCTTGGAGGGCAGGGGCCCTTTTTTGAAAGGGCCCGTTAGGCTTCTGAGGAGGGTTCTTGCCAGCCAGATGGGGCGTCTGAGGAGGCCCCTGCCTCCTTAGAAGCTATTCCCGCCTTCTCAGCCGGCCGCCCCCCACCTCGTTCCACCCCCCTCGTGCGCGCCGCCACGAGGGGAAGCGGGAGAGCCCAGATCTCCGACGATCTGATGTGTATGACTGGCGTTGTTTTCTTCGACTGGGGTCTCCGGGCCTGCTGTTCGGGCCCTGGGCCAATGAGAATAATTCGGCGGTGGACAAACCTCCCTTTAGTAAACCTCTCTTTAGTGAAAACGACCTGGGACCGAAACCGACGGACCTGGACCCGCAAAAATGACGGCCGCAACGCCCTCTCGCGAACCGAAAACGGACAATTCGCTAATCGACGTGTCAGGGTAAGAGGTCTGTCCACCCCCGAATAATGGCTCTGGAACAGAAGCTGGCCCCAGGGAGTGGGTCGGGACCTCTGAGGCCGCGCACTGGACACGGGAAAACATGAGAGGGTCGAGCCAGGCGCACGCAACGCCACATCGTCGTGCCGAGTCCTTCGGTGCTCGCCCAGTCGGGTGCCGCCCTGGACCTACAGATCCATGGGCGACGCCTGCAAGGGCCTGGGCCATCGCCTGCGCATGTAGGGAAAGGGGTGCCAAGACGGTGCCGATGCAGCGCGCAGGGACGCCTGTCTGCAGAGGGGGCGCGCGTGACTCGAGCAGCGCTTCGCGCGCGAAGCAGGCGAAAGCATCGAATCGGATCGGCTCGGCAGGAGAAAGCGTCATGCTCCGCAGCGCCGTCTGCCCCCCCCCCCCCCCTGTGGGGAGCCACAAGTGAAGCCGAAAACTAAAAATAACAGCTTCTCTGGGTTATGCCTCGCCCTGCCCGGCGGCCAACCACAATTTTGGCAGATATCCCGCCTGCCCAGCGAGAAGATCTGAGGGGCAACGATAATTAGGGGGGGACTGGCATAGGGAGGGAAACATCGACCTGGAATCGGCGACATATCTCCGATAGATCGGCGATAGGGCCCCGAAAGCAAATCCGCACCTCCCTGGGCCCACCCAGTGCTTACCCAAGCCACCCCACCACCATCACCTGGCCCCCTTCCCCACTCCCGCCTATTTACTCTTTCCCTTCCTCCCCTCCTCCCGGTTTCCTTCCAGACGCCTCCGATCACCAACCTTCTTAACTCTTTCCCTCCCCTGTGCCTCACCTCCTGGCCCCCGCTCCTTCGATCCTTCTGGCAGATGTGCCTCAGTTGCGAGCGAGAGCCACAGACGGCGTTGCAGGACTCCCAGTCCACGTCGAGGGACACGAACCCGAGGTCCTGCAGTGAGTCGTCCTTCTGATCCTCGTCCTGCTTTTACCAGTTCTCCTCCTCCTCCCCGCGATGCTCCTTGCTCGAGCAATTTCTGCAGACGCCCCCCCTGGCGAAGGCAATGCCAAATCCTCTTCGTCACAGCCTAAATCTGTTACAGACGTCCCCTCGGGAAACAGGAAAAACGATGCGCCCCCTTGGTCAAGCTCAGCACCCCTTCGCCCCGAATGCAGACGTGGAGTGACTCCGGCTCGCGAGGGCGTGTCAGATAGCTTGCTGGCTCACAAGTTCCTGGGGAATTTCAAGATGGGGCCCTGAAGTGTCCAGACACTTTGCGAGCTGGCCTTGACCAATCCAAACTCAACCTGGAAGCCCCTTCCTGTTTTCTGGGCATCACCTTCGAACCTCCGAACTCAAACTCAATCTGCCAGCCACTTCTGGACCTTACCTTCCAAAATGCTCCCTCGCATGTTTGCTCCCAGGGCGTTCCTCACGACCCCAGGACGCTCCCAAGAGGGGCCCGATACCGCTCCAAGACGACGGCAAGATGCCCGGAGACGGGCCCAATGCTGCCGAAAGTCCCCTCAGATGGTCCAGGGTGTCCCCAAGCAGCCCTGGGAGGCCAGAGAGGCTTCCAAAAGGCCCCCAAGGGTTTCTCTAGCCGGGCCCTGGGAAACCAGAAGCATTGCACTCTTAGCGCTTCTCGCGTCTTTGATGTACGAAGGCTTATCTGTGCAAAATGGCTTCAGAGGGGCTTTTGAAGGCTTTGGGACGGCCATCCGAGAACGTCCCAGGGCGGCTCCAAGACCGCCCCAAGACCTGTCAAGATGACTCCGCGGGGCTTCTTCGGGAGTGCTTGGCGGAACCATCACACTCAGGACAACCCGAAAGCGCCTCGTGTGTGTGTGTGTGTGGGGGGGGGGGCGCAGAGGCGGTGTAGAGAGCTATAATGGGACCATCTGATCCAGGATAGGAAGGGCCCTGAAATTGCTCGACACATCGCTGGCACGGTGGCGGGGTTTGGTGCAAGCAGCTGGAGCAAACAAATGCCGTCATGGCCAGCGAACACAAGACTGTCGTGCAGCCCTGGGTAGGGACCCCTTCGAAGTACCGCGCGGCTGCCCCTCCCTTTGCTGTCACGAGCCTCTCCCTCCCTCGCTCCCTTCCTCCTCCTCCTCCTCCTCCTCCCCACCCACCTCCAACTCCTACACCTCCTCCTCGGTACAACTGTGCCACTGCACCACGGAAAGACGACAAATCACTTGATGACAGAGGGTGCTCCTCGGAGTAGCTGCATATCGGCGTCGCTGTTCCAAATTCTTTGCCCATCGGCCGCTGTCCCCTGCGACATTTCGTCGTGACCGCGGCAATCAGCCATGGGTGCCCCCCAGACCCTTTGCCATATGGCACTTGGGCCGCAGTGCCTGCCGAACTCCTGCGGCAAAGCCATCGCTGCTCCTGCCGCCTTATCGAATGTATGATAGCTCCCTGGCACGTGCAAACTATCACGGCACGCGCATCAACATGCGAGAGGAACACCTGCAATACGTAACCACGCACGCACATTCATGTCCGGGCTCGTGGACGCACGGGCGACCAGGCCAACAATCAAGAAAGGCATGCGTGCCGACCGACAGACAGAAGGAGAGGGAGGGATAGAGAGAGAGGCCTAACTGTGTGCACCTGCAAAGGGGAATGCGTACACACACGATCATACTTACATGCGCAGATCCAACGATGTACACATACATAGATACATGTTTGTGGCGCACATGTCGAGGCAGCTATATGGAACTATGAAGGTCTGTTCATTGAGTTGACTGCTCACTCTGTGTAAATGTGTAGACGCGTACATGTACGACCACACACTGAATATGTACATATGGACACCTGTGCGTAAATTCCACGTGTGTGCACATAGGCGGTGGGAATGTTAAGATACATGTGCGGGAGAGGGAACCATCAACGATTCATGTGTACATGTATAGGTATACGAGCTTGTATACGTATCTATGTATAGACTGAAGAGCAACAGGGGTACGTACACGTGTATATATAGAGAGAGATGGCGCACATATACATGTATATACAGGCAGACAGAGGGATACATACACAAATCTCGAGAAAGCTAGTGAGGGAGAGAAAGCGAGGTAAAAATAAATAACGACAGAGAGATAGAGAGAGGGAGAGAGAGAGAGAGGGAGAGAGAGAGAGAGGAGAGGACGCAACACATCTGGAGAGCAAGAAGGAAGGCGAAAAAGGGGGATCCAAAGAAACTTACGCTGGAGGCACGAAGGCACGAGAGGATCAACGCGCAACCGGAAATTTCATCATAGGGCGAGCACGGGGAAACCGCCTCCCGGAACCAGTAACTGTCCCCGTAGCCACTTGCTGCAATTTCAACCGCGCTGTCACTTTTTGCACTCCTTTAAAACTGTATATATATATATGTATTGCGGTCAGCCAGGGACTGGGAGCAATATACTTCCGGTCCCCGGCCGACCGCATTGAACATTGAAACGAGGCACGAAACTTGGCAATGATGCTGAAATTGTAGCAAGTTGCTGCGTGTGGCAGTCATTGGTTCCGACAAGCGGTTTTCTCGTGCTCGCCCTATGCTCGCATGTTCGGCTGCGCGCCGATCCCTTGTGCCTTCGAACAATCGGTTCAGATCTACACGTAGCCCCCTTCAGGGTCAAGAGTGCCGCGCAACATCTGCAGTGATGGAAGTTATCCTCGGAGCTTCCAAAACACAGTGTGATCCACGCTGCACGAGGCACGTCCTCCGTGCCGATCGCCCCTGTGCCACCAAGCTTCAGATTCTTGTCGTGGCGCTGTATGCCTTCACGATTCACTTCGCAAAATAACAATGATGCTGACGCGCTTGACTCTCGGGAGGTCCTTGCCATCGCTACTAGCATGACCTGATGAATATAGGACCCTGTGTGCCTTGCCTGCGCCAGATTAGCACTGAGTCGGCCATGCAGCTTCGATAACGCCAACCCTTCGGACGGCCTGGTGCACAATTTGCAGCCCATGCCTGCGGCGGTGCTGCCTTTGTCCCATCTGGCTCACCGCTCCGAGTCCCTGCCCACAGCGCCACTGCGTCGCTGACACCATCCGACTACAACACTGAAGCAATCCACTTGGAATAACGGAAAACTGGTTGCGGGGACAAGGCGGCGTCGCTGGGCGGGCCGGACAGATGGCAGGAGCGGACGCTCACCTCTTGAAGTGCCTCTTCGCTTCACGTCGCCGCCTGCGCTTCTGAGTCTCGTCGCCGTTGCTGGATGCGCACCCCAGCTTCAGCAGCATCCACCTGGGTCGCTCTACTAGGAGCGCGCTCATGTCAAATGTGCAAATGCAAGCAGGCGCAAATGTTATTTCCTTCTCAGTCTCGTCTCAAGAGCGCTCTATGCCTGCCGACCGGTGTCCCCGAGAGTTCAGAACGCCAGACTCCCGTCCGCACGCAAGTTCGACCGATCGCATCTGCTTGCAGCTATAGTTGCGCCTCTTTTTCCCTTATCACCCCCTTCTCTTGTAGTTACGTCGCTGGATGTAAACGCACATCGCGATCCTACTTATTTACCTAACTTTCTGCTGCGCGGCAATTTCAAGTCTCGCCCGTGAGGCTCCCCCACTTCAACCCTCGCCGCTTATGGAGCCTGCTGTGCCACGATCGGCAGGTACCAATCGGTCGCAAACATGATTTGCCCACGTTGCCCATCTGTTACTATGCTTTCCCCCAGCAGCGCTTTCAATGAGGGGACTTCCCGTGGGGAAGGTTTTTCGCCCCCCCACTCGCCGTGATCCCCTCGTGTGAGCCTACTTGGGGCCCTGTCACTGCGGTCTCACACGCGGGGATCTTACACAGTGGGATGCCACACTGTAGAGTTCCACACGACAGGGTCCCGCAGTGAAACGGTCCCACACGGCAGAGTCCCGCACGAGAAGTCTCACACGGTAGAGTCCCGCACGACGGGATCCCACACGATAGCGTCCCCCACACGATATGGCTCCATGCAAGAGGGCCCCCTAACGATATGAGCACATGAGATGCACTCCATAGTTTGCACTTCGTCCTTCGCATCACATGTGCTGCACATCATGGATTGCACAGTGTCGCTGTTTTGGATCGTCGCTGACATCAATCATGTTATTCACGCTGTCGCTCGGCTTCATTGTCTCCACCTGCTTCTTCCAGGCCTGCATACGCTCGCGTCAGCCGTCGCTTGATGTCCCCCCCCCTCCTCATGTTATCTCCTTCACCGCGGTGGGCTGGTGGTGATGTGCTCCAAGTCTCTCCCATCCCTCTGTGCTTGGCCGCGCTTTGAGTGTCTTCTGCGACTGGGCCACCCGACTTGCCCCCAAAAAGCTCGCCTGCTCTCCCCCCCGCCGCCGCGCACGTGGCGCTGTTCCAGGGGCTCGGCGCGCGGCCCGTCCCGAGGCCCTCACACCATCGGCCTCGGGAGGCCGCAGCGTGGACGAGCGCACGCCAAGCCGTCTGGCCGGGGGCAGCGCAGTAGCAGTGGCGAGCGGAGTCAGTGGCAGCAGTTTGCAGCAGCAGCAGCAGCAGCAGTGGCCGCAGCATCAGCCCTAGCGGCCCTAGCGGCGGGGGCAGCAGCAGCCACAGGAGCAACAGCAGCAGCAGCAGCAGCAGCAGCCACACACACAGCAACATTGCAGGCAACAGCAGCAGCGCTAGTAGCGGTAGCAGCGGCAACACCATTAGCAGCAGTACCCCCAACAGCAGCATGACGGGCACACGTGCCAGCAGCAATAACAGCAATCATGACATGTACCAATGACATCAGTAACGGTCGCATCAGCAGCAATGTGTACGAACTGCCGCAGCAGCTGTAGCACAAGAAGTAGAAGCCAACAACAAAGGTGGCACATCTGGCTGTTGCAACAATAACAATATCTATAGCGATGGCAACCGTCACATTTGAAGTTGCAGCAGCGGCAGCTTCAAGTTTCAGTAACATTGGTGGCAACAACGCGAGTCGCGGCAAGGCGACCAGCAGTGATAACAGCATCAGTAGTAGCAGCACTGGTAGTGGCGTGGCACTGAAAATAAACAGCGCAGTTGTATCAGTAGCGTATTTGGTATCCTTATTCTAATGATGATGGTGTCACGGTGTTCTCCCCAACCCCACCCCACGGCTGACGAGCCCGATCGAAAGCCGTATGACCGAACTGTCCCGTGCCGTCTGCCAGCTGCTCCTCAGGACTTCTGCTCCTTCCCCGCCCCCCTCCCCCCGCCCTTCCCAATCCCCCTGCCTCCGTCCCCCTGCCTCCCCGCCCTCTCTGCGCCCCAGCTCCCGTCCCATCCTTCCCTCTTCCTCCTCCCCCTTCCCCCCCTCCCCCCGGTCGCGGCCCAACCGACCCCTAGCAAAACATCTCCTTCCGTGACATCACCCTCGCCTTCCAAGCTCACCTCCGGCCGCATAGATCCGTCTTGGGGCGAGGCGAGGGGGACGTCGCGTAAGGGGATGGTTTTCTAGGGGTCGGTTAGGCCGCCCCTGGGCATGAGGACCGATTCGGATGAGGACTCATCGAGAACCTCTGAGAGCCAGCGGTTCTAGGGGACGCACCCGGCGCCGCGGCCGTTCAAGAGCGCTCTGGGGCGCTCTGAGAGCGTACCAGGCCGCTCTGTAGCGATTCAACCTCATCCTGTACAACAGGACCACGGATATCATACCATCCTTCGAGAACATGAGACCCGCTGCCTGCCAGACTGAATGAACATTCGAGGGTGCCCTCGCCCAGGAGGCACAAGAACATCCAGCAAGCACGAGGAACACGAGGGTACCCTCCCCGAGCCGACCTGGTCCTGATGCCTCGGGCCGGCCGTCATCATCGTGCTGCCAGAGGAAACACTGAAGAATGATATCTGGGTCCTCATCCTCCCTCCCTTCCTCCTCCTCCTCCTTCTCCTCCTCGTCCCTCCTCCTCGTCCCTCCTCCTCGTCCCTCCTCCTCCTCCTCCTCCTCCTCCTCTTCCTCCTCCTCCTCCTCCTCCCTCCCTCCTCCTTCTCCTCGTCCTCCTCCCGCCTCCTCCTCCTCCTCCTCCTCCACCTCCTCCTCCCTCCTCCTCCTCCTCCTCCTCCTCCTCCTGCTCCTCCTTCTCCTCCTCCTCCTCCTCCTCCCTCCTCCCTCCTCCTCGTCCCTCGTCCCTCCTCCCTCCTCCCTCCTCCCTCCGCCCTCCTCCCTCCGCCCTTCTCCCTCCTCCCTCCTCCCTCCACGGGGGGGGTCCTGGCCACGGCGAGCCGCGGCCACGACTGGGCCCCACGGCGCAGATCTGAGAGGCGGCTTGAGAACCAGGGCCCCGCCCGAGGCCAAAGGGGCCCTTCCTTCCTGCAGCGTCTTGGCTTCAGTCGGGCGTGTCCCCCTAAGGAGGGGGATTTTGGGCGACAAAATAAAGATATTCAACCATACCCCCCAAATGAGCAAAAATACGCAAAACATTGTCCCCAGAGTATTTTTTGACTATGCTTGAATATTCCTCCTGTAGCGGGACACGCCCGACGTAAGTCTTGGCTGGTGCTCCTCACCCCCACGTCTGCCCGACCTCCCCTCCTCGACGCCTCCCCAGCTTCCCAGACGTCCGGCGATCTATGACTTTTTCCCTGCGCGGGCCCAAGAGGACACGACCCCTTCCCCTGGGCCAGCTCCTCGCCCCGGATCCATTCTCGATGGACCCAGCAGGGCTGGACCTAAGCAGTGTTTTTCGTTTTCGTTTTTTTGTTTTCCCTCGTTTTGTCTCGAATTCGCCTTCGCTGCAAAACGACATCGAAACGAAAACGGCCCACGAAATCCCCAAAACACCGTTTAGGTCCACCCTTGGGGCCCAGGGCCCGGTAAGGGGCCCCAGAGGCCCAAAGCGAGGAACAGCACAGGGATTGACAACATCAAATTCGGGGAAGCCACAGGGTACTGATACGGCTACTCCCCAGACCTCTCCCAGGGAGCGGTCTGGCCAGGATTTGGAGGCGAACCCAGCGGTGGCGACGAGGGCCTCCCAGGAGGCCCAGAAATGAGAAACCGAGGAAAGGGTAGAGGTATGGTACCCTTCCAGACCCTCGACGTCCAGATTCTTTCATGACGTCGACCCCCAAGGACTCGGCCCATTCTGCGGGACAAATTTTTCATCCATGTAATCGTTGTTTCACGGTTCGGAGGCCCAGTGAGGACCCCTGGAGGCAGACAGTTGAGGAAAACCTCCCGTCGTGATCTTCTCATGACTCGAAGTATGGGTACCTTTGCCTCCTCCCGATATCCTCAAGGAGTTGGGCTCCCCTTCCCACAGCCTCCCCAGCTTCTCGCGGAACCCGCCTGGGGCCCGTCTCCGGTCCCCGCTCCGCGCCAGACTCCGCCACGGCGAAGCCGACGCGCAGCGCCACGTTCTGGGTGCAGCTTTTGCCGAGCCGCGGAGGGGCGCGGCACGCACGGGGGAGTGTTTTTTCTTCAACATCAACACACCAGCCAAGCATTACAACATGCAGGACGGCGCCTCCTCCCTGAGGGTTTTGGTCACGACAGCTTGCACCACAGCCCCCGCACAAGTCAACACCGTGTGACAATTTTTGTCCCGTCCGCGTGGGATCCCTAGTGCGAAGACGGGGACCTCAGTGAGGCCACGTCTTCACCGGGTCATTAGGGTCAGGGTTAGGGCTTCTCTTGTTCTCGAGGAAGTGAGGGGCAACGATCAAGGGGCGGACTGGCACAGGGGTGGGGGGTGCATCGACCTGGGATCGGCGACACATCGTCGATAGATCGGCGATCGGCCCTCGATCGCGATTCTGCACCTTCCTGGGCGGGGTGGGGCTATCAGACCCCTATCGGCGATCAATGGGCGATCTGGGGTCGATGCATCCTCCCCTATGCCTATCCCTCCCTTGCCCCTGAGCGGAGGGGCGGGCACGCCTGGGGGAGGGCCTGGGGCAGAATGACGAAACGCCGCACAACCAAAGGACGAGAAAACGGCACAAACATAAAGTTTCAGAGGCCCGCGCGGACTTCCTGCATCGGCGCTGGGCACCCCAGGCGGCTCCTCCGGCGTCGCCCCTGGCGCGCTCCGCGCGCCAGAGAGCGGGGAACAGCGCCGATCCAAGAAATCCGCACAGACCTCGGTAGGTCTATGTTTATACAGCTTTTCCTTCGACCAACGTCGGCCTAGGAAGGCAGGCGGGGGGAGCGACGAGAGCGAGGAGGGGCTCGGACAGCCCCGAGGATGCAAGACTCGCAGGCAACATCGCTGGCTGGGCACCCGTCGGAAGGGACACTTCTGCCACCGGGCAGGGGATGCGGAGCCCTGCCTGGGCCAACGACGGAGACCCAGCTCTCCGACGTCGTGGTACTCTCAATGTCGACTTCCAACGGTCCAGACCACTTCCCCGGGACCCGTCCTTCATTCCGTGACGCCTTTTGACGGTCCTGGGGCCCGGCGAGGGCCTCTGGAGCCCAATTGTCCAAGCGGACGGCCCAACCGTGTGCAGTTGTGAGTGCCGCGTTGTGGGTACCGCTTTCGGTGGAGCTCCGTACGAGGCCACGAAACGCGTGAACCCCCCTTCTGACATATCCCTTTTCGCTCTTCCGCTCTCCTACAGACCCCCCCGCCGCTCTCTCATACACCCTCCCCACTCCGACTCCGACAGACCCCTCCACCCTCCAGGACAGACCTCACCTCTCCGAGAAATCTCCTTCTTGTTTGTCCGACAGAGCCTCTCTCCTGTCCTTGGACAGGCGCCGCCCTCTCTCCCACACTTTCCCAACCCCTTCGACAACCCCCCCTCCCCCAACAACAGACCCCCCCTCTTCCCTTCCGACATCTCCCTTTTCGCTCTTCCGCTTTCTCTCCTACAGACCCCCCACCGCTCTCAGAGACACCCCCCCCCCACTCCGACAGACCCTCCCCCCTCCAGGACAGACCTCGCTTCTCCGAGAAATCTCCTTCCTTCTTTCCGACAGAGCCTCTCTCCTGTCATGGACAGACGCCGCCCTCTCTCCCACACTTTCCCAGCCCCTTCGGCAACCCCCCCTCCCCAACAACAGACCCCCCCTCTCCCCTTCCGGCATACCCTTTTCCGCTCTTCCGCGTTCTCTCCTACAGACCCCCCCCGCTCTCCCAGACCCCCCCCCCGCACTCCGACTGACCGCCCCCCACCCAGGACAGACCTCACCTCTCCGAGACATCTTCTTCTTTCCAACAGAGCCTCTCTCCTGTCCTGGACAGACCCCGCCCTCTCTCCCACAACTCCCCCTCCCCATTCGACAGACCCCCCCCTCCCCCAACAAGAGCAGCTCAAGCAGCAGCATCAGCAACAGCACCTACAGCAGAACGAACAGCATCAGCAGCACTACTCGCGCACAACCACAGACGCATCCCAAACGGCCCGCGACGACTCGCAGGCATACCCCCCTGTTTTAGGACAGACCCCACCCCCCTCCAACAGATCTTGTCCCTCCTCCCCGACCCCCCCCCCCCCACCTCTCCAGGACAGACCCCCCCTCCGACTGACCCCTCCCCCAAAATCAGAGCAGCACAAACAGCAGCATCAGCAACAGCACCAACTGCAGCACGAGCAGTATCAGTAGCATTACCAGCGCACTTCTACAGGCGCGTCCCAGACGGCCCGCGACAACTCGCAGGCACACCTCTCCTGTTTCAGATCAAATCCCCCCCTCCCCGACCGATCTCTCCCCCCCTCTTCGACAGACCCTTGGCCTCCAAGACAGACCCCGTCCCTTCCCCAGGCCATCCCGCACCCTCCTCCCAGATGTTCCAAGATAGCCTTAGATGCATCACAATGAATCCGAAGGTGCTTTAAGAGGCCCCGAGACCGCCCCAACCAAGACGGCTCCAGACACCAAATAGCTCTCCAAAGAACCTTCAATGAAAACAACATCCTTCGAACACCAACGGAAAACTAATGATTTCTGCCCCTCGCCTTGTCTCTTCCGATGACCATCCGAGGCCTCAGGATGCCTTCAACAGACCCCCAGAGGGACCCAGGATCGCCCAAGAGAGAAGCCCAAGAGAGCCCCAAGGCCAAAGTAAGAGCGCCCCCCCCGTTACAGACACCCCCACCCACTCCGACAGACCCCCCTTCCTCCAGGACAGACCTCACCTCTCCGACCAATCTCCTTCCTTCTTTCCGACAGAGCCTCTCTCTCTCCTGTCCTGCACAGACCCCGCCCTCTCTCCGACCCCCCCCCCTCTCCTTCCTTCTTTCTGACTGACCTTTCTCCCCTCCACCCCCCCCCTTCGACGGCCCCCCCAACAAGAACAGGACAAACAGCAGCAGCAGCAGCATCAGCAGCATCAGCAACAGCACCAACAGCAGAACGAGCAGCATCAGCAGCATTACTCGCGCACGGCCACAGACGCATCATCGTCATCATCATCATCATCATCATCATCATCATCATCATCATCGTCATCAGCATCAGCATCATCATCATCATCGTCATCATCATCAGCATCAACATCATCATCATCATCATCATCATCATCATCATCATCATCATCATCATCATCATAATCATCATCATCGTCATCACCATCATCAGCATCATCATCATCATCATCATCCCCCGGAGTGCCCCGGATCGGTGGCACTGGCCGAAGCCACTACAATATATATATATATATATCATATATGTGTACATCGGTATATATATATACACACCTATGAGCGTATAGATGTGCTCGTGCCGGTGTTCTCCTCCTGCCCTGGCTGTCCTGCAGATTGCGGTCGGACCTCCTTTGCTAGAGGCCTCCTACATCGGGTCGGAAGCAACAGGATCGGAAGATCGCGCCGCACCGCCGATGCAGCGGCGCCGCCGGCGCAGAGAAACTCGGGCCCCACCTAGAGCCGCATCGGCGAGGCATCGGCGATGCGGCGCGATCCTCCGACCCCCGTCTATTCGAACCCCATCTGTATGTTCGGCGTCGCCTTTGCGCGGCGCCAGCGCTAAACCGACAATTTTTGCGGCGCCAGCCGTGTTGCCAGGGTGTCCCGCTGCAGGGGTCGTTCGGCCGTCCGCGCCAGGGCGCCCAGCTCCGCAAATGAAAACGCTTTGGCACGCAAACGCCGATACTTTTGTCGGGCCCTGCGGCGCACCGAAGGCACCTCCAAAGTGCCGTCGGCGCGCGCGAGCGTGCACGGCGCAGGGATGCCTAGATTCTTGCCCGACGCGGGTTCGACTTGGATTCGACGCTCTCGACGTGGGCTCGACGCGGGTCAGCCGGAACGATGGCCGGGCGCGGAGGGGGGCGCGAGCGCAGGCGCCGCAGGGCCGCCTCCAGCAGGAAAACGCGAGGGCGCAGCCATGGGAAGCCTGGCACGAAGGGCACCCAGACAGGCTCGAGCCCAGAAGCATGGAGACGTGAGGTTTTTGCTAGATGTCTGCCTCCCTGGGACTGCAAAAAGACGACTCCGAACGGAAAACCGGTCCCGGGGAAAAGGTCGGGACTTCCGGGGACCCCGCACTGAAAAAACCGGGATATACCGTGTCTGGAAACCTGGACTTCAGACGGCATGACCAGGATATAACGTGTCTGGGAACCTAGACTTCAGACGACATGACGACGACATGACGACACAACCAAGATATAACGTGTCTGGGAACCTGGACTTTAGACGACATGAGCTTTCCAGCCGGCAGCTTCTCCACTATATCGATCTGGGCCTCCGGGGCCCGCTGCCGGGCCCCAGGGCCATCAAGAATGGGCCCAGGGTGAAAATCTGGTCCCAGAGAAGGGGTCGGGATCTCTGGGGCCGCGGATTGAACCTCCTCCTCCTCCTCCTCCTCCTCCTCCTCCTCCTCCTCCTCCTCCTCCCCCTCCTCCCCTCCTCCTCCTCCTCCTCCTCCTCCTCCTCCTCCTCCTCCTCCCCTCCTCCCCTCCTCCTCCCCCTCCTCCCTCCCTCCTCCTCCTCCTCCTCCTCCTCCTCTCCTCCTCCTCCTCCTCCTCCTCCTCCTCCTCCCCCTCCTCCTCGCCTCCTCCTCTCCTCATCTTCCACGGCCTCCGTCTCCGCCCACTCCGTCGCCGACGTCGCGGTCCTCGGCCCTCTTCAGGGTCGGCGGCACCGGCCGTCAGGCCTTCGCAATCGTAGGATGTCTGGGGAGGGGCCCCGGAGCGCTCCTCGCCCTCTTCGGCACGCTCGGGGCCCTCCACGGGCCGCGTCGCCTCCGATCGACTCGGGGTGACGGGCTGGCCGTGGGAAGGGCCCCTCGGGATCTTAGGTCCCGCTTGCCCTCAGGACTCCTTCCCTTCAGGTGGTCGAGGGCGCCCAAACTCGTGCCTCGCGCTGCGCGAAGCGCGGATGACTTCGCGCCCACGAGGGCGCCCTTGACTCCAAGGCCTTTGGGTCCAAAACTGTCGGGCGTCTCGCTTTGCTTCCGCCGCCTTTTCTCCTCCAACATGTTTCGCTTTCGGAGCAGATTTGGAGGATGAGGAGGAGGAGGCAGGAGGAGGAGGAGGAGGAGGAGGAAGACCAGGAGGAGGATGAGGAGGATGAGGAGGATGAGGAGGATGAGGAGGAGGAGGAGGAGCAGGACCAGGAGGAGGAGGAGGAGGAGGAGGAGGAGGAGGAGGAGCTTCCGCCAGCGGACCCGCTGCTGGTCTCCTTCCGCCAACTTTCGGGGGTTGCGGAAGGTGCCCCTGGCCCAAGGTGCCCCCAGCTCTGCGCTTCGTTTTGGAGCCGCTGGGGCCCCCTGGGCTTCGTGAGGGGTGCTCTGGAGGTCGTGGGGGCCTCCCTGGAAATCCTGGGGGCACCCTGGGCCAGGGGCACCTCTAGCAACACCCGAAACTTCTGCTGGCCTTCCGCCGAAGGCGCGAGGGCGTCGAAGGCGAAAGGCCCTCCCTGGAGCGCGCGGGATCTGGCGAGACGCGCAGCAGGCGGTGCCGGAGGGCGCCGGTGCTGGGCTCCAAAGGGCCATACGGCAGGTTCAACGTGTCGTGTCGACTTCGGGGTTGGTTCTGGACATCGAGGGGATCGTTCCACCTTAAACGATCGGCCGTTTCCGAAGCCGAAGCTTCAGGTCGTTCAGCATCGTCCGATTCTGGGTCGCCGGCGGCGCCCAACGTTGAGTGCCAACGGCGGGGTCGCCGCTGGTCGGCACGACGCGAACCTACCGTACGTGACCTGCCTTCGCGCATCGCGCCCCGCGATGCGCGACGCGCGAGTATCTTCGCGCCTTCGCGCCGCATCCTTAGAGGAAGGGGAGCCGCTCTGGCCCAGACCGCGACGCGCGAAGCGCGATTGTCTTTGCGGCCCCCGCGGGTGACCTGGGAGACCGCTTGGAGCATGGGGGGCCTCGGGCGCGCTCCACGTGGCACCGAGAGGCGACCACGTGGCACTGAGAGGCGACCTCGGCGGGCAGTGGCTTCCCAGCCGAGGCGCGAGCTGTGATGCTTTTTCTCTGGGCGGCTCGAGGGCGTCAGGAACGCTAGGCCTGAGGAAATAGGCCAGATGCACGCGAGGCCTCGCAGGACGAGGTGGCGCAGGCCGCAAGGTGCGGTCAGGGCCACGCTAGCGTCCAGAAGCGGCACCCTTCCAGCCCTTGATGCCTGGGTGAGCCTTCGTGCGAGCCAGTGCGACCGCCCAATCCCACCGTCGTCGTCGTCGTCGTCGTCGTCGTCGTCGTCGTAGTCGTCGTCGTCGGCTTCGCTGGACGTCTTCGGAATGTGAAAGGGCCTGGCCAGGCATCACTATCACCATCTTACTGGGTATGCATGTAGGTATAAGTGGTTATGTGTGTAGATGCGCACGTGTGTATGATTGTATGTGTGGACGCATACATGCATGTATGTATGCGTGTGCATGCATGTGTGTACGTATGTATAGGTATACGTGCATGAATGTATGTGGCACACATGCATGTATACATGCATGCATGGCTGTATGTGGAAATGCATGTATGTAGATATGCATTCGTGTATGTGTGTATACGTATGTGTTTTCGTATTTACGTATGTATGCATGTATGCATAGGTAGATGCATGCATGTACGTGTGTACGTTTGTGTGTGTGTGTGTGCACGTGTGCATGCATGCACGTACGTATGTATGCATGCATGCATGCATGCACGTATGTATCTATATGTGTACGTATGCATGTGCGTATGTATACGTATGTGTATGGCTTGATGTATGTAGGTATGCATATGTATACGTATATGTATATATATGTATATACGTATGTAGGTAAACACGGGTGTTAATGCATGTATGCATGCATGCATGCATGTATGTATTTATGTATGCATGCATTTGTGTAAGTGTGTATGTATGTGTATGATCTGTGTATGTGTGCGATATGTATGCATGCACCCATGCGTGCATGCATGCATGTATGTGTGCATGCCTGTAAGTGTGTATGTATGTATGCATGCACGTACATCTATGCATGGGTGTCTCTTCGTATGGACGTCTCTGCACATGCAACACATGTGTACTACAAACAAATGATTCGACAAACGCCAGGGAAATCAACAGGGTTCACCACACGTGACTTCGCCAAGGTTTCTCGAGATTTCTTCGGGCCATCTCTAAGGTATGGGACATTGAGGGGATGACAAAGGCTCTCAACAAGGTTCACACAGCGATGGTGTCGCCGGACCACCCAACAAGCTTGTCCATGTACTCCAGCAGCTCGTCCCACGTCATCACGCCTGGGGTCGAGTCTGGCTCCACGAAGTCCGGGCACGAGCACTTGGGGTAGGCGCCCACCTCCTTGCACATCTTGTCACACTCCTTGGCCAGCATGTTCTGCAAGAAGGCGCGGTGTTCCTTGTCCTTGCTCGTACAACTCTGGTGCGAGGTCTGCAATTCAGACGCCACTGTCTTCCAGCCCTTGATCGTGTCGCCAGACCACCCGACAAGCTTGTCCATGTACTCCGTCAGCTCGTCCCACGTCATCACGCCTGGGGTCGAGTCTGGCTCCACGAAGTCTGGGCACGAACACTTGGGGTAGGCGCCCACCTCCTTGCACATCTTGTCGCACTCCTTGGCCAACTTGTTCTGCAAGAAAGCCCGCACTCTCCGGTCCTCAGCCTCGCAGCTCTTCTCCGCGTCGACGGACGACTCGCTCGTCTGGATCTCTGCCGCAGTGCCCTTCCAGCCCTTGATCGTGTCGCCAGACCACCCGACAAGCTTGTCCATGTACTCCAGCAGCTCGTCCCACGTCATCACGCCTGGGGTCGAGTCTGGCTCCACGAAGTCCGGGCACGAGCACTTGGGGTAGGCGCCCACCTCCTTGCACATCTTGTCGCACTCCTTGGCCAGCATGTTCTGCAAGAAGGCGCGGTGTTCCTTGTCCTTGCTCGTACAACTCTGGTGCGAGGTCTGCAATTCAGACGCCACTGTCTTCCAGCCCTTGATCGTGTCGCCGGACCACCCGACAAGCTTGTCCATGTACTCCGTCAGCTCGTCCCACGTCATCACTCCTGGGGTCGAGTCTGGCTCCACGAAGTCTGGGCACGAACACTTGGGGTAGGCGCCCACCTCCTTGCACATCTTGTCGCACTCCTTGGCCAACTTGTTCTGCAAGAACGCCCGCACTCTCCGGTCCTCAGCCTCGCAGCTCTTCTCCGCGTCGACGGACGACGCGCTCGTCTGGATCTCTGCCGCAGTGCCCTTCCAGCCCTTGATGGTGTCGCCAGACCACCCGACAAGCTTGTCCATGTACTCCAGCAGCTCGTCCCACGTCATCACGCCTGGGGTCGAGTCTGGCTCCACGAAGTCCGGGCACGAGCACTTGGGGTAGGCGCCCACCTCCTTGCACATCTTGTCGCACTCCTTGGCCAGCATGTTCTGCAAGAACGCGCGGTGTTCCTTGTCCTTGCTCGTACAACTCTGGTGCGAGGTCTGCAATTCAGACGCCACCGTCTTCCAGCCCTTGATCGTGTCGCCGGACCACCCGACAAGCTTGTCCATGTACTCCGTCAGCTCGTCCCATGTCATCACGCCTGGGGTTGAGTCTGGCTCCACGAAGTCCGGGCACGAACACTTGGGGTAGGCGCCCACCTCCTTGCACATCTTGTCGCACTCCTTGGCCAGCTTGTTCTGCAAGAATGCCCGCACTCTCAAGTCCTCAGCCTCGCAGCTCTTCTCCGCGTCGACGGACGACGCGCTCGTCTGGATCTCTGCCGCAGTGCCCTTCCAGCCCTTGATGGTGTCGCCAGACCACCCGACAAGCTTGTCCATGTACTCCAGCAGCTCGTCCCACGTCATCACGCCTGGGGTCGAGTCTGGCTCCACGAAGTCCGGGCACGAGCACTTGGGGTAGGCGCCCACCTCCTTGCACATCTTGTCGCACTCCTTGGCCAGCATGTTCTGCAAGAACGCGCGGTGTTCCTTGTCCTTGCTCGTACAACTCTTGTGCGAGGTCTGCAATTCAGACGCCACCGTCTTCCAGCCCTTGATCGTGTCGCCGGACCACCCGACAAGCTTGTCCATGTACTCCGTCAGCTCGTCCCATGTCATCACGCCTGGGGTTGAGTCTGGCTCCACGAAGTCCGGGCACGAACACTTGGGGTAGGCGCCCACCTCCTTGCACATCTTGTCGCACTCCTTGGCCAGCTTGTTCTGCAAGAATGCCCGCACTCTCAAGTCCTCAGCCTCGCAGCTCTTCTCCGCGTCGACGGACGACTCGCTCGTCTGGATCTCTGCCGCAGTGCCCTTCCAGCCCTTGATGGTGTCGCCAGACCACCCGACAAGCTTGTCCATGTATTCCAGCAGCTCGTCCCACGTCATCACGCCTGGGGTCGAGTCTGGCTCCACGAAGTCTGGGCACGAGCACTTGGGGTAGGCGCCCACCTCCTTGCACATCTTGTCGCACTCCTTGGCCAGCATGTTCTGCAAGAACGCGCGGTGCCTCTTGTCCTTGCTCGTACAACTCTGGTGCGAGGTCTGCAATTCAGACGCCACTGTCTTCCAGCCCTTGATCGTGTCGCCAGACCACCCGACAAGCTTGTCCATGTACTCCAGCAGCTCGTCCCACGTCATCACGCCTGGGGTCGAGTCTGGCTCCACGAAGTCCGGGCACGACACTTGGGGTAGGCGCCCACCTCCTTGCACATCTTGTCGCACTCCTTGGCCAGCTTGTTCTGCAAGAAAGCCCGCACTCTCCGGTCCTCAGCCTCGCAGCTCTTCTCCGCGTCGACGGACGACTCGCTCGTCTGGATCTCTGCCGCAGTGCCCTTCCAGCCCTTGATGGTGTCGCCAGACCACCCGACAAGCTTGTCCATGTACTCCAGCAGCTCGTCCCACGTCATCACGCCTGGGGTCGAGTCTGGCTCCACGAAGTCCGGGCACGAGCACTTGGGGTAGGCGCCCACCTCCTTGCACATCTTGTCGCACTCTTTGGCCAGCATGTTCTGCAAGAACGCGCGGTGCCTCTTACTTAAACTCTCGCAACTTTCGGTCGCTGCCTTCGCATGTGTGGACTTCTGGATCGCTGAGGCGACCGTCTTCCAGCCCTTGATCGTGTCGCCGGACCACCCGACAAGCTTGTCCATGTACTCCGTCAGCTCGTCCCATGTCATCACGCCTGGGGTCGAGTCTGGCTCCACGAAGTCCGGGCACGAACACTTGGGGTAGGCGCCCACCTCCTTGCACATCTTGTCGCACTCCTTGGCCAGCCTGTTCTGCAAGAACGCCCGCACCTTCACATCCTCGGACGTACAGCTTGTCTCGTTGACCTGGTGACGCAGGTTGAGACGAGATGCGAGAGATGTCTGGACGAGGAACCCTGCGAGCACCACAGCCAGCTTCATTGCTTGAGCGCCCTCCTGTTGAAAGCGGCGCTAGTCAGTAGATAATCTGCAGCTTAACTTAAGCCAGCATGGCTACAGCGAGGAGGTGAGGATTGGGAGAAATGTGGCCGCCCCTCCAATCAGGAACACTCATGGGAAAGGCCTGGGGTGCGGACCTCCCGCGTGAAACCGCCGGCTCATTATGCGGCGCTGACTTTCCTGCCCTCCCCGTACAATGCGCCAGGAGGTGCAATTTGGAGCCTTATTCCTTGCGGGCTTGGGTTCAGGAACACGTGATATCACAGGGCAAACCTCCTCAGATCATATTAGGCCGAGCCTACTTCAAATACTGCTTTACATACGCAAACAACCATTACACATATACCACATTGCATGGTGCTCTTAACAACGTCTCTCCGCACTCGCCCAAAGGAATATAGCTGAATCTGCTGTGCATCGTGTGCTCAATCACTCTGACCATAGTGATGGCATGCCTCTCTCACAGGAAGCCGTGCGCTCATAGATCCACCGTTTTTGTAATGTCGTTGTGGCATTCAACGTTTTTCAGTACTGTTGCGGCGCGTGTTCGCATCTGACTGTGAGTAGAGACGATATTAACCGCGTCGTTTAGCCCATCTTCCCTAATTCATTCCAGGATGCTGTTGCTGCTTCTTGCGCTCTTTGAGAAAACGGCTGAGCGCGCCACCGTCGACAGAGCGGGAAAAAATGGAGAGGGAGAGGAATACGGCTGGACCTAGGACATAACAACATCCTTCAAAAACATGAGACCCTCTGCCGGCCAACACACCCCAGGATGCACAAGAGCATCCACCAAGCACGAAGAACATGGGGGCACCCTGCCCGAAACCGCCCTCGATGTTGTACCTCGGTCTGGCCACAGGAGTGACGAGGAAAATGGCGAGGACGAGGACGAGGGCCCCGAGGGACACGGCACAGGTCCTCCCCCCCGAGTCGTTCGTGGACGGCCCCTGGGGCCCGAGCACGACCCCCCGGACCCTAACAAACGGTGCATCACTCGCAGGACCCGCTTCCCTCAGGACCCCCTCCCAAACCTCCGACGCCCTGACTCCCTCCCTCCTCCCCCCTCCCTCCTCCCTCTCCCTCTCCTCCCTGCTCCTCCCCCCTCCCTCTCTCAAGAAACTCTCCTCCCGCCCTCCCTTCCTCCCTCCCTCCATTCTTTGACGACTTCAGACTGTGCGGGGCCTTCAAATAACGACTCGGGAGGAGGAGGGCGGAGGGAGGAGGGCGGAGGGCGGAGGGAGGAGGAGGAGGAGGAGGAGGAGGAGGAGGAGGAGGAGGAGGAGCGAGCGTCCCTGGCGATCGTCTCTCCCCGCCTAGGGCCGCTGCGTGCGCGCGAGCGCGGAGCCTCTCAGGCTCACGCTGATGAAGTCCAGGGCGCCGTTGGCGGAGTCGATGGGGCTGACCGAGCCGTCGGTCGCGTCGGCGACCAGCGCGGTGTGGCCCGTGGCATGGACAGGAAAGGCGTACCCGTCCGACTCGACGGGCGCCAGGGCGGACCCGCCGATGTTCGTCATGAGCATGTCGTCGCTGACAGCGTCGTTGCCAACGGGGCCAGCGACCAGGGCACCAGTGCCAGGAGAATCATTGTCATCCTCTCCGTGACCCACGTGCGTCTCGGAGCTGCGAAGCGTGTCGATCCTGAAGTTGCCATCGTGGGCGATCAGGGAAGGGTGGCGCAAGTGGAACACGGGAGCGACCTCGCTGCCGATCGCCTGAACAGTACCAGCGCCGTCAGCCACGTGCGCAGTGCCCCCAACACCACTGCCCTCCAAGTCAGTAGGGTCGAAGTCGGGGAAGGCCGCAGGTGGGGAGGCAACGGAGACCACCCCAACAACGTCCAGCGCTGCGGGGTCAAAGGGCGTGTAGTCTGGGAATGCACCTTCACCCCTGGCCGAAGCACCAGCAATATCATCATCGGGATGAGGCGGAGCATGAGGCAATGGGGTCGGGTGCAGGAAGAGGAACGATCTCAGGGCCTGATGGCAGTTTGTCATGGGCCACGACGAGGGAGGCAGGGTGTAGTAGCATCCACCGTATCATCTCCCGACTAGCATCAGGGAGAACAGGGTAACTAATGTCCAAGGCCCGCATCGCGTATTCTATCGGCTGGTTGGAGATCTTGTCATGTTGCGAGAGGGTTTCCGCAGACGCTGGGGCCGCCGCAGTCGTCGCCATTGGTGCAGACGCAGTTGATGCTGTAGACACTGGGCGCGGGTCTATGCCTTGGCTCAGGGTCTCGAGAGCCAGTTGGAGAGCGAGCGAGGTGTGTAGCAGCAAGCCAGTCACATCCGACACCACGTCCACGGCCGCGAACTTATTCCTCATCTGGGGGTCTTGAGCGGGGCCCGTTAGACCGCCAGGAGCAGGCTCACGACGTAGCGGTAGTTCCCCTGCATGGCCATCCCCATCATCATGTAGAGCGAGGTCAACAGCAGAATGATCGGGTGGCTGTCGACCCACAGGTGGAACACCCAGAGCTTGTGGGCCATGGAGATCTTCAGCCACTGCTTCAGGTACAGGGGGAGGACGGTCCACATGAGGATGTTCCAGGACAGGTGATACGTCCCGAGCAAGCAGAGGGGCACCCCCCACGGAGCCGTCAGGGTAGATGACGCCGAAACCGTGTGCTGCCACCGTTGCATCAAAATCATCATCCGTGCTCGTTGGCCCACCCGAGGAGCTGCTCGTGCTCTGCGTCGTGGGTGCAGCGGGCACCGCAGTCCAAGGCGCATCACCCGAGGAGCTAGCTGCAGGGTCGCGAGACAGGTCCTCGTCGGCATCATCACGAGAGCGCCGCAGACCGCGTAGCAGCTGTCGTTCGAACTCAGCATCGCTGAGATGCGGCCCAGGATGTGGTGGGTGCTCATCAGCTTGCATGGCGATGTTCGACGCGTGGTCCGACGGGTCGTCGCCGTCGCCTCCGCCCGCCGCCATGAGCACGAGATCCAAGTCGGAGGGGTTCGGGACTCCCTCGTGGTCGATGCTGGCGTTATCCGCATCAGGCGGCGGTTCGCCCTGGGCGAGCGCTTCGGACGACAGGTCGATAAGCAGATGCGGAAGAACGTAGAGATGCGGCATGAGCGCAGGTGGGGCGATCGGGGGGGCCAATGTAATCTGCATCAGGTAGTCGTCGCGGTTGGCCGCGGGTATGCGCGACGGGTCGGCACGCCGCCCGAGCTTTTTCAGATGCGCCATGGCCAGAAGGCGGAGGGGCCGAGCCCGCTTCTCATCATGCTCAGGCCAAGGGTCAATGAGGAGGCGTCGTAGTTGCTCTCGAGCAAAGGCGCTGCGGTACCAGCCGCTGAGACACCAGTCCAGAGCGAGCTGCCGCCTGCTCGCCCAGCCGCCGCACAGAAATTTAAAGTCATCATACCTGAGAACGTTCTCCACATAGTCAAGGCACCACTGCATCCATTGATCGAAGTCAGAGCCGTGCATGTTCACCATCAGCGTGGGGATCCACGAGCGAGCCCACGCCTCAATTCTGTCCTCGAGCGCCTGGCGGCGAGCGGCGATTGGCAGGCCTGTCTCCTCAGGTGGGGGGGCAACGGATTCAAAGAGCGCAGGAAGATCCGCATCATGAAGTGCAGCCGTAGTCGACGTCTCGCTATCACCGGCCAGCTCTTGTCCACCAAGAAGGTCGCGCGACCCAGGAGTAAGTCCAGGGCGCCACGTAGCAGGCGGCGAAGGCGTGAGTGGTGGAGTAGGAGTGCTCGTCGTAACCGTAAATGAGCAGTGGCCCCATAGGCGACAGCCACGGGCTGAAAGAGAAATCCCAAAGCGAGGGCGACCATTGGAGGTAAGTCGATGGATATCCCAGCTTGAGACGTGATACTTTGCGGGTGCAGCATAAAGCAAACCGGTGATGATGAGCATCGGGAAAAGGATCGCCAGGCTTCGTCATTTTGGAGCACAACATCCAAATGTCTCCCACTCATCCAAAAACCAGCACCATAGCCATCAGCAGAGCAGGCAGGTGGCACCCCCAGGATTGTCGATGCTGTGGCAATGGGGGTTGGCGATAGCGTTGACGGAATGCAGCAAGAGGGTGGCAATGGCGATCTCGGCGAAGAGCACGATGAAGACGAGCCTCCAGCAAGAACAAATACGCCCTCAATGATGTCGATAGCCGGCGTTGATGGCGAGGGGCAGGGCGCATCGCTCGATGGTGGGGAGGGAGATCCAAAAGATGACGAGGAAGAAGATGACGAGAATGAGGAAGAGCATGAAGACCCATTTCTCTTGTCAGGGCGCGCGCGCCCAGCACGCCTTGTCCCCAGGGGTGCTCTCGATGGCGCTGTAGCACCCAGCTGTGCAGTGCGAATGGCTGCCTTGACAAAGGAGCGCGCCGCCTCTCGCCGCCAAATATGAGCGGCTGAAGAGTGAGCTGCACAGACATATGTGTAGTGCATCGCCGCAGCGTCAAAGTTGTCCAGCTCGACAGCCGAGCCCATCGGGCCCAGACGACCCAGTGGGGAGGAGGGCCGAGAGTAGCCAAGCTCTTGCTCCAGAAGGAGACGAAATGGTTGGCACTGCAAGTAGTGCTGAACAGCATCAGGTTCACGCGGGCAACCCAATCGGCAAGAGAGGCGCCCGTGCGGCTGAAGTATCCTGTGCGATGTCGCCCAGCCGTTGGCCACCGTCTTGAGCCATGCAAATGCCCAAGGCAGCAGGCAGCCACGGAGATATGGGAAAATGTGTACCCAGCGCTGCGCAGGAACAGGGGAGTCGCCCATCACTCCT